TTTTTAACTCCCTTTTTAAGACGGCCGAATGCTCGCCAATAATTTTTAACAACGGGAATATACCCGATAATATTTAATTCAATTAAACTTCATTTAATAACTTTTACTCTTACAATATTTTAATTCACGGGAGATTTACCGAACTATCATCACTTAACAACAACCCACTAATGTGTGGTCAAAATTTACAATCTTTCCTTACATACTGATAAGCATCACTGAGTAGACGTTGGAACAATCTTAGCAGAAACCTTTTACGAAGACGTAGTGAACCCAACGTAACACTATTGTACTTCGGTCCCAGACTAAGTCGGCAGAATTTTAACTGAACGACGTTAATTTAAAGTAGAGACAAATATCACAAAATTAAATCAACCACTTCTATTTAGAGAAGAGGTTTCCGCCTGAGCCCCCAATTGTTACGTTCGCCGGTGAGAACGAACAAAATGAGAACAGTGTTGAGCATTTAAAACATTTAGTGAATTATAGTGAGCAATAAGCAATTAAACTTTACAAAGCACATTAACAATATATTTCTTAACATTAACTTATCTGGTAAGAGTAACAGTGAATAGCTCCATAGTTGAAAATCCATCATACATCCATCTATGTTATATTGTTCATTTGGTCAGCCGTCAGCTTAAATTAGCATCGTCAGTTATGGCATCTTGTAATGGCTGTAATCGTTTGCTTATATCTACTTGCGCTCGGACTTATATACGCTTGCTAAGAGAAACTGCAAAACAACAAGTAATTTCCCCTACGCAATTCAGAGCGTTGTAGCGCATGCTACCATGGCTTTGTGGTTGACACCAAGCTACGCACTTGCGGTTAGGCGTGGACATAGCTATTGCCTGCTCATGCTTATACCTATTTTGCTTACTCATGCATGTAAGTCTTACGAGAATAAGGTTAATTAACTAAAAGGTATATATATTTATACTAGCTAAGTATATGACGCTATATTATTATACGATCTAATTACATGATATTATGTATCATGCAACACCAATCATGCAGCTGGACGACGGGAAGGCTACAATCGAGGCCCAGTGGCGTATCTATAGGGTTAGCATCAAATGTGGTATAACAACTGCTTAAAATAAAACACCTCTCGACGTTTTGACCTGAGGAACTTCGTCAGGAGTTCGAAACATCTCAGCTGCGAAAGAAATTACGCTATTTTATGATCCTTGTCTTGTCATGCACTGATCTCTTGGCGTGTATTTTTGTCCATCCGTTGACGATTTACCTCTGCGTCCTCTGGGCATATGGAGATTCCCCCTTCTTATTTGATAAGTATGAAATATTTGCCGATATTGCAAAGACACTTTTCGGTTTTACGCAATAATGACTTTGGAAAGATTAATAGGTTTAGTATATCCTTTTATACACAAAACACCAGTCACTATAAGCGTAGACTTGTGGTCACCGAAATTCTGAGAATTATCTTGAAAATAATATCTTTTGTTTAAAATACATTTTGTGGACGCTATTCTCACAAGCTTATTACTTGTCCTCCTTTTTCTCTTGAACCTCAAAATGTTTATCATCGCAAAGACAAAAAGCAAGATGTCTTTACCAAAAAGTGCCGGTGGAACACGTGAATTTAAGAAATTTCATACATGTCTTTTAGCCGTTGGAAGTTTTTTATTAGCTATGTGGCTCTCTTGCAGTGGTTTACAATATAATACAAGCGACAGAACAAATGGAAACGGAAAGAGGCCTTTTATTTTTCCTTTGGGCCACAACTTTACTTTGCATAAATTCCACTGTGAATTCGTTAATTTTCTTCTGGAACAACAGTATTTTGCGCAAGGAAGGAAAAAAGGTAGTGCTGAGACCTTGTTTGCGTTCCTGACGTTTGTAGAAGTGTAAGCATGCGGCCAAAGAAAGATGTATGTATAGTGAGTAGATATAGTCGTCTTATTTATCTTACATGCTATATGTATAAACAAACTAGGCGTAAAGGCTATCGCATTATTGCTATGATAAAATATCAGAAATAATGGGACGGCGTACAAAGACACAATTTTTACAGTTTAATATTTATGGCGACAGGCTCCCTTTGTCCTTTCAAGTTTTCAACCTCCCTTTCCCCCTTTCAATATTGATCTCTAATGTTGCTGCGCTTTTGTGAAGATACACAGCTATTCTGTGTGGAATAAAGCCAAACATTGAATGGGGAAATGAGGGGGCGGGACATTTTTTGCAAATGACCCACAGATTTTGGCTGCAAGATTGTAAGAAATGATGGCGAAGAAATGTTGGAGTTGAATATTTGATAAAAACCTTTTAATTTGAAGCTAATCAATAGACAAAAAGATTTCATCGCGCAGGAGGTTGATTTTGACAACACTTTTTTTATTTCTCCTTTCCCTTACCTAGTCTCAGTTCAATTTTCAATTCCTAAATCCTACAATCATTTGCGTTAACGTATTGGACAGGTGGTCCCTTATCTCTAAGGTAACCGTGCGATTGTTCGTGCTTATTATTTCCCCTTGTAATAATGCTAAATTTACTGAATTTAAAATAAATATACAAATAATATAATATGTACAATACACCAAAATTTTACAGACGAACACGACATTTAGCACCGTTTTACGACGACAAAATGTTGGAAATTTTGGAAAAAGAAAATAAGAAAAAATTACTCCCGGTCCATTTGTATTATCATGATTTGCCAAAGTACTTTTGACGCACCCAGGCATTCCTCTGCTTACTTGCTTCTCGTCTTTCTTGAGCTCCATCAGGCTTTATTCTGGGTGGGAGGTGATCACTAAATACTCTTAAACTGAATATGATAAAAAAGTTGGTTAGTTTATTTGAAAATAAGATCACTGATTAACAAGGCAGCTTATACAGTCGCAAAGAGATGTGTAAGAACGAGGTTGTGTGTGATATTATGTTATAAAAGCAGTTATACAGTAGAGGTATGTTGTATTAGAAAGAAAGAAAGTAATTCTAACACGAATTTTATACCTTTCTTTGACTTTTTCTTCAGTTGAAAATTGAACGTCACCATTGTCAGTGTATTTTTTCTTTCTAGTCATTCTCTTTCTCATTTTTTCATTGGGTTCGTTGCCAATATGTTCGTCGTGGTAAAAGAAGCCTTCTATCCTATTAAAAAAAGACATCATTAAAATCCCTGTTACTGATGTTACATGCTCTAATTTTCTGCAACCAGCAATACACTGCACAGCATTTGGGTGATCTGAATTCTTGATGTATTTGCACGCCTCCATATCGCTGATTAGCTAAAACTTCAACTATACCACGTGGCGCCATATTGCAATTTTGAACTACTATAAGAATGTTTCGACGGTTCAATTTGTCTCGCAGCCCTGCAAAAAGTAGAACCAAGACAGTACGACGTAACCGCATTGACCAGGCTGCCTATGGTAGAACCGGCTCAACTTTTCAAGTAACTTCAAGTTATAAACTGAGGTTGTTAAACGATAAAATCTGCTTTGCGTTGTAGACAAAGGCAGAAACAAAGAGATAAAGAGCGATAAATACATGCTTGGTAAATGCTACTTAATATATTCATAATTAGAGGGGGAGGGTAAAAGTCAAAATAATTTTGTGATCATAACAGCTATAGTGAGAATCAGAAATTCAGAATTCGTAGAGTACTATACATACTTTTCTTCATCCGAATAAATGTATATACCGTAACCATATTTCTGGGACTTTCTCCACTCGCCGTCGTAAATATCACCATTTGGGTAGAAATATACCCCATGTCCATGTCGCTTTCCATCTTTTGTTTCTCCATTGTAGGTATCAACAACAATAAACGTCTCGTCTTCACTCCATTCTTCATTGTGATTGAAATTTTCCATCTTATCTGCTTTTGATTTGACTGTACTGTAATATCGAAAAATTCCACTAGAAATCTCTGACACAAGCGTGCATTCCTTTTTTATCGACTTAAGGCAAAGACTACAGTATGTATGCAGTTGTATTCAAGTTTTATTGCAAAGAAAGCGTGAAAAATAATGCATGTCCGTACCATAATATCTCTTTAACCAGAGTAGCAGGGGATACGCTAAGATATGGTAACTGGACTTTAAAGGCCCGTTTAAACTTCCATTTTTTGCTGCGATTTTATGGGCGATTTTCTCCTTTTGATAGATGTAAACGAGTGAATTAGTTACTGGTGTTCAAATAAGACCTCCTATACATCAGAGCATTTGTAAGTATAATTACTCATTCACATCTATCAAAAGGTATAACAAAAGCTATAATTGATTAAATACTGCAAAATGGATTTCCGTTTCGTAAACCCTTTAGAGCACTCATTGGGTGAAATATAAGCGCGGGATCACCTGGTTTACTAAATGACTCAAGGTCTCTCGAGAATTATAATACATTTACACTTTGTTTTCGTCAAACTTTTACTTGAGAATAACCCTGTATAAGACCGCCGTAGTGCAATTTTTTGTTGATTAGATTTACTCTTGAATTACATTTTGTTCTCTTAGACAAACTGACAAAGATGTCAATGCATAAAATATGTACGAAACGCGTAAGATACAAGGCTGGATTATATGTCAACCTATTCAACTGAATTAATACAATTTTCAGTCATTACTTTTAATTACTACATTGTCATTAATATATAATTACCATTATAGTCGCGTTGTTATAATTAACTTCTATGATTATTAATAATATAGCAAATTAACTAGCATGCAGTGTGTTTCCATGTAATGTTTCCAGTAGATATAAGAATAAATGTGTGCTGTGCAATATACGCAGTGAATCAGGCGTGAGCCACTCAAATGATAAAAACTGAACTAAATTCGATCATACACTAAAACTTCACCTTCCCCCAAATTAAATGTTAAAAATTAAAGCACTTCTAATTAAATCAGTTTTAACACAAGACAGAAAGAAAATCTCCTTTTATGGACAAAATAAACAACTGAAACAACCTCTAGCGGTCTTTCAAGCGGGATGCTTTCTGATTCAAGACCTTATACTAGATGTATTCAAAAATTAACGCATAAGAAATCCTGCTCGTTAACAAGGTTTCTGTCTGTAAGGGAAATAAGTCGAGTGAGAGGAGACGTTGCCTCAATTGAAAGGCCCGCTTTATTTGTTGCTTCCACTGTTGCAAAAATTGTTTGTCCCAGAGACAGGCCATAATTTTCGTGAAGATGAAATCTGCCTTCTGAGGTAATGCCAAAGTATGTATAAGGAATGACGTCATTTCCACGTGGTTTTCGTCTAATGCTGACACGAAATCCGGCGATGTTCGATTCTTCGTCATAGAAACGAGACCAATAAATTCGTAACGTCGTATTAATAAAGTGACAGCCAACATGTCCACGTCTAACATCGTGATTTCGGTCAGGACTTATGATAACAAAACCCTAAAATGCACATAATTATAGGCAATATCACAATTTGGATTTAAATTATTCAACAGATACTTATTGTCTCTTTGAAATATGATTCAGTTTTCAAAAAATATCAAAGATCAAAACCGGAAGATAATCCGGACAGGTGGGCAGTTATCTCATCTAGATCACGAGTGGAATAACTTTGTGCATTATCAAACTTGTAAGGCAAATTGAAGTCCATTATATTATTATATTTACCAACCAGTAATAGAGCACGTGCAACACGATTGGACCTTATAAATCTTCTATCATTATCTTCATCTTGGGGAATGCATGCTTACCTTTCCTGGTGGGGTGTTATCAATCCGTATTGGTGGCGAAGAAACGTCCAAACTTCGCTGCCCCACTGTATTATCACAAGCAACGATAACTTTGTAACTTTCGCCATGTTGCAATGTCAAGTAATTGACTTCAATTTTGTTTTGATTTGTCGTAGGCTGAACAGGCATTATTATCGTTGTTTGGTCCTCGGTTATTATGCTAAATACACAACCGATAATCCCACTTTCTTCATCTTCAAATCCACTGAACTCCACGGCCAGACTGCAATGACCAACACAAGACATGTAAGTTTTGTTCAATGACACTTTGCCGCCAACGGGTGCCGTTAAATCTGCTACAACTCCTTCTGATGTCGCCAAACTAAATAAGCCTGCTTTATTCCAAATTCGAACAGTCATGTAGTATGTATGCCTGTGGTGCAATTTGCAATTAAGACAGGTGACGTTCATCTTCTTCTCAAATGCACGACGCATGTCTTGTACATTGCATACTTCTCTGGTTGTACCAAAACAGTATTCTACAAAATCTATGCCACTTTCGTCATCAAATGTCTCCCAGTTTCCGATAAGATTATTGCTCGAACTAATATACCCTGTTCCAGAATGCTGAATTTTGATCTGAAAAAATTCAAGATGACTAGTTAAAGATGAACAAGTCGTTATTTTTCGCGCAGGCTATTTTTTTGAGCGATGTATTGATATTGATATTTTTTGCAAAATTTCACAAAAAATATGACCGCCAAAAAACTAGGTGAATCTCGTGCTTCTAGGTTTTCCAAAGGATATTGTATTTATTATTACGAATATGAAAATTATTATATGCACACAAAAAGACATATTTTTTCAAGGAAATGATTCTTGTTTCGTATTATACATACTTGTTGAAATTTCGGTGGTGTGTTGTCAATTGTGATACCATTCGACGAAACACGTGAACTTATTCCAGCTTTGTTCACAACTTGCAAAGTTATGTAGTAAGTTGAACCAGAGTTCATAGTAAGATTTTTAACATTCATCTCCCTCGCTAATCCGACTGAAAAGAACTCGTGTATGTTGTCCTCGCTTGACCCAGTTCCAACAGCTATCAAATACTCCATAATTCCACTTTCAAGGTCATAACCATTAGTCCATCGCACGTGAAGCTCGCCTGTGGATGCCTGATATTGATGTGAAAAGTTTTGGCCGTTTTTATCCAGTATTATCCCCACCGTGGGAGGTGTGTCGTCAACAGTAACACCATTTGACTGTTTTGACGATTCAAATCCGTCATGATTTTTACAGGTTATGCGGGAAACATACTGAAGACCTGAAATCAACGGGAAATGATGGACTACAGAACCATTTGCGTTAACCTCCATTTCCAATTTTACCGTGAAGGATTCGTTCTTATTAGGATACTCTTCACTGACAGTTAGGATACATTTCTTAATGCCAGATTCAGCCTCTGTGAACGCAGACCAACTAGTTGCTAAGGCAACGCTGGAATTGATGTAGTCTAAATCATGATCTATTCCATCAAACACATTTCCGGGAACGGGAGGTGTGAAGTCAATTCTGATATTACCTGAGCTAGCGATAGTTTTCAGACCTGCTTTGTTTGTTACAATGATAATACCGAAGAATGAATTTTCTAGATCTTCCGGGAGAAAACCATGAACAGTTCCTTGAAAAGCTGAACCCGCATTTAAGATGGAGGTCGAGCAAACGTTTTCAATGTAACCCAGACAATAGGCATAATTCTGAATTCCTGATTCCAAGTCAGCAAAACCCTGCCACGATATTGTATAGTCAACATCATTGGTCTTTTGGTTTAAAATGCGATGAGTCACACTTACGGAACCAACTGTTGGGGGAGTGATGTCGATGATAAATCCGTTTGAAGTTTTGTTGCTGCTCCATCCGCTTAAAGTGGTCCCGCGAACTGTTGTATAATACTTAACACCAGGCTTTACTGTGACATCGCTTTCTGACAACGACAGCAAAATTTTTGTGTTAAGCACTACATCTGTAAATTCTAAAATGTTGTCATATTCCCCCAGCGTGCCAACAGCCCACTCATACTTTATTATAGGATCCTTTGAATCTGCATGAAATGCACCCCATGACGCTCCAAGGGTTTCTCTATTGATATCATACTCCATGTCATGTGGCCCAGTACCATCTATGACGTATGACGGAATAGGCCATTGTTCAACCACCGACCAGCCGTTGGAATACCGCTGACTAGATAATCCTGCATTATTCCAGCATTGGATTACGTTCACGTATGAAGAGTTTGTGGAAAGTTGAACAGTGGCCTTTTCAATGTGTTTTGTGTTATACGTAATGTTAGCTTCATGAAGAGTCCTAACATAAACACTGAGAGTAGTGTTTCCCTCTTTCTTTAAAATGGCCCATTTGCAATTGCGTAGACCACTATGAATATCTCGTGCTCCGTTCCATGTGACTGTTGGAATCCAATTGCTAAACGACTTTTCCACGTCAGGATATTCTGTTTCTTCACCATCGTATACGAGTTGTATTTCAGGGGGTGTCGAATCGACCGTTACACCGTCCGAGACGAATATTTTGGACAAATTTACTCCGTTTGTTATACGAAACACAGCGAAAGCTGTCATCCCAGCATCAACTTTGCAGTCGCTACAAGTGAAAGAGTTATTTTTGAGGATTGAAGTGAAAGGTTTTATGAAGCAGTTGAAAGGAGTACTCCCAACACAATATTCAATTTCGTGTATTCCACTTTCGACATCTTTCACATCTTCCAAGGAAGCAGAAATTGTGTCTTGCATCAATATGAAATCCACGTCCTCATTCGAGACACCGTCTCTAACCATGCCTCCAGTTGGCGGACTTTGATCAAAATTAACTTCTTCTAACAAAAGTGAACTTGAAAGACCAGCTTTGTTAAAAGCTTTCACGGTCACATAATACACTTGATTCTCCTTAAAGAACAACCCATCAGCATTGAAATGTGTACATAAGTCTGTGCTGGTAAAATTGAGTATATCGTCACCAGAATTGTGTCTACCGATGCCAATTTCATAGTATTCTACTGGACTTTCGTAGTCTTCAAAGGCTTCCCAAGCAATTTTAAAAGAATGTGTATTTGAACGAAAGTAGCGTTTAGGTAGTTCATCACGTTTTCCGGTGTAATCTGGTGCAGTATTGTCAATGGTGAATGGCGTGCTGAGAACAAGAGACTCCAAACTTGCGTAGTTCATTGATTTCAAGACTATGATGTACGATTTTCCCGGATACAAAAGATTTGTATCAATGTATATTTCCTCTTCAGTCTGACTAGGTTTGAGAGTGTAATTCAAAATGGCTGAGCTGTTATGTACTACCGAGATCTCATATTTTTCTATTTTGCTTTCCGGATCTTGGAATCCCAACCAACTGACGCGAATACTTTCGCCTAATCTGTAATGTTTCTTGACGAGTCCTGAGTCTGATTTTATTTGTATTTGGCCAGTTTCTGGAGGGCTGAAATCAAAAAGGAATGGCGATGAACAGTTTCCAGACACGAGATTAGCTCGATTTCGTCCAACGACAGTGACAAAATAATGAATCCCTGGCCTAATATTCAACCCATTTCCAGAGGTATTGGCATTTGTGGCCGAACCGATATTCGTCAATGATTGAAGTTGTGTGCCATATTTTGACGTTCCTATCGCCATCTTGTAGTACCACATTTCGCTTTCCAGTTCTTGGAAATCCTCCCATGTAACGTAAATGTCCGTCGCTGTGGATGAGTAATAGGTTTCAGTTTCTTCAACAAAGCGCCAGTCCAGATGAGATGGCAATGGTTTAATATCACTTGAAACAGGTGGTGTCGTATCAATAATTACGCCGTTGGAAGATAATTCTTGTACCGCACCGGCTCTGTTGTAAACGTGTAAGATAACGGTATAATTGTGACCGTGTTTTAGATTTAGCACCTTGTTGGATGTAACGTGCGTCTGAAGGCCAACATCAACGAAATCTTGCACAAGTCCTCTACCTTCTTCATTAATCCCCCATTCAAATCTCTCTATCCTGCTTTCCAAGTCCCAAACTCGTTCCCAGTTTGCGCTGATTTCTTTGATAGATGACTGATAGCGAATATCTGGTTCGAGTATTCCGTCATGTACGATGCCCGTCGTTGGAGGAGTCGGGTCGATGAGGACACCGTCTGAAGCCAAGCATGACCTTAATCCTGCGTTATTAATTGCACACAATATGAAGTAATACACTTCGTTGTTAAGACGAAGTCCACTTATTGTAGAAGACATATTGTAGTTAACATCTATGAATGACGTAATGTCTGGCTGGCCAGCCCTGCTTCGACTAACAGCAACCTCAAAATGCTGGATGCCTGACTCGTGATCTTGAATTCCAGTCCAGGTTGCGGATAGCTCCATCGTATTTGATTGGTGATCTATATCATCTTCTTCCAGTCCGTCCAATACCATTGCACTTCTCCAATCAGGGGGGGAGACGTCTACAACAAATCCGTCTGATGAAACGACATTACTTTCAACTCCTGCTAAATTTTCAGCTTTAATCTTTATACAGTATCGTTGACCGTTCACGAGATGCAGACCATGGATTCCAAACGAAGTTGCTGTTGGTGGTATAACTGGCATGAACTGGTTATTAGTCACATGGTAGTTACCTCTCGTGCAACTACCCACTGCAAAGAAGTATGCTCTAACTTTTACATCAGCTGTTTCAAAACCTTGCCATGTTGCATGAAGTTCGGAAGTATTTGTTACATAATCGATGTCTACTGATGGATCACGGCCGTCGAAGACCATTCCGAGACTATGTGATTCAGCGATGGGGATTATTACGGGAGACATGATGTCTGCATGGAGACCAGCGTTGTTTATCCCGCGAATGATCAGGCGGTATGCTGTGTTATTGGCTAGCGACAAGGATCTAGAAGGTTATTAAAAATGACCACTGCATGAAAAACGCCGTATTCCAAGGTATTCACATGTGAATACGGGTGTGAATAAAACACATATTGCAAGCGTATTCCGACATGGAATATTAGTGTGAATACGGCATCGTATTCTTCAGTATTCTAAGTGTGAATACGCCGTGAATATGCCGCGTATTCTGACCAATATTCACACTTGGAATATCTCACTTCTCACTTAATCCGTGTTTCCACAAAATAAATTCATCAGCTGACATTTTTAAACTTTATTTTGAATGCTGAAAAATTGAAGTGGAATTTTATAAATAATTTGGCGCAAAAACCAAAAAGCGCGCTTTCGAGTTTAATAAACATTGAACGAGGAGATCGTGCGTTTGTGGCTGTAAGAAATCTTTTTGGCGCTTATAAATAAGGGAAGAGAGTGAAGGATGCCAAGGGCTTGGTAAAGTCTGGAAACTCTGGTCGCAGTTAAAGAGCATGCCGGCGAGTATTTGTATGCTACGATTCCCACGAAGTCTGATGAAGAAAATGCGCGAAATAGAAATGAGATTGCATGGCGCGATTTCCACAGCACCTTATGTTCGCTAATACGTGTAAAATGATAACGAATATTAACCGTATTTCAAGGATTTTTTATTGTTCAAAACCGAAAACGCATATACTGTTTGTGCGTAAGGGACCTCTTCGGTGAGTGACTAAATATCGTGCAGTTGAATTCAATAGCCGGCCTATAGACTATACCCTATGACCATGTTGGGAGTAATCTCAACATTTTATTAACAAATTACCTGGTGATAAGAGGTTAATGGGTTATGCGTTCGCAGCCTGTGCGAATGTTTAGGCATTTATTGTCCCTCAAGTCTGTCCATTAAGGAAAATATCAATATGAACAAACATGCATAATCTTTAGGTTGCCATGTTAATTTGCATAGCAGTCATACACATTGCAATGGTAGGTTTATCCACAGTTAATGTGTTTTATCAAGGTTGATCAAATGCAATACTAAGATTTCAGTCAATTATTTAAATTTTATACAGTCCTTAACAGATCATGTACATGTGATGGGTTACAACATTTCACATTTTATAAAATATTATTGGAACATCACAAATTGTTCAAAAATATGTAGCAAAAACACAGCCTATCATGAACTTCTACTAAGCTGTTATGATTTTCAATCTTTCATCAGCTGATTGTTAATTTATAAGCAATGTTGTTTTAGTATATATGAAACATTGCTCCTGGAGTATGTCAGAAATTATACTTAATAGTAAATTGTTGAGCAAAGCAAGTGATGTTTTTTCACTTGGTAAGATATTAAAAACTATAGGTGAGCAGATAATGAATCAGGAACTTCTTTCACTGGGTGAAAAATCCTCTTCATCTTTAGCAAAGTTAAGGCCAACTCTTTTGGGAATTTTCTCAATCTTGCAACCCCTGATGGCTAAAAACAATTAAAACCACCTTAAAGCAATTATTGAACAAAATACATAGCAAACTTTCTTAAGCTATAATAGATTATTATCCGAAAGGTTAATGATAATGGTAAAAGCTGATGTTGCATGCATGGCCATTTGTTTTTATTGTTGTGCATAGAATTTATGCAGTGTAATGAAATTATAATATTCCTAGGAGAATGTATATGTACAATGTACAATGTACACACCATTCATATAATTTGGAAGCTAATCAATTAGGGTAAAAATGGAAACAAATTCTTCCATGAACTTAAAGCTGTATATACACATAGCTACTCCTAGTATGCAAACATCGAGAAGCTGTAGTAAACTCATCTACACTTTAATGGTATATTCTTTAAGTATTGTGATTATAATTTATGTACGGAAAAGTAATTGCAAACAAATCAGTAAACAGTCTCAGTTATAAATTATGATGAGGGCAATGTTAAAAGGCTTCACTTAAAAACACAGTCTAGCATGAACTTCTAAGCTGTTAAGATTTCTGTCTTTGGGCAGCTGGTTGTTAAGATTCCTATCTTTTGGCAACCAGTTCAATAGCTATTCTGTGGTAAATATTAGTGTAAATATAATTCATATATGCTAAAAGGAAAAATATAGGCCATTATTTTGTTAAAAAATATGTATTATATATAACTAAAAAACACAGTCTGGCTTTGATTTCTAAGCTGTTAAGATTTCTGTCTTTGGGCAGCTGATTGTTAAGATTTCAATCTTTTGGCAATCAATCATTAGCTATTCTGTGACAATTATATAACAATATATATCTATAATATATAAATTTTGCCTAAAATATAAAAACCCTCATGAAATGCACCAATGCACCTCATTTCAATGCATCTTGAAACGTCTATCTAAGGGTTATGTTATGTTAAAGTTATGATTACAGCAGCTTTCTGAATATTTGTGGTAGGTAAGAAAGTAATGTCCCTTTTCAGTATTGGCAAACTTTTAAATTTTGTTTGTATTGAGTATGGCTTTGAAATGGCAAACATTTGTACCTACTATAATTAGTGTGTGATGGAGGTAGGATTGATGAAAACCAATTAAACCATCATACAATTTATTTATTACAAGCAGGTACAGTTAGCTGTGTACAAATTAGCTACAATAAACACAATCGTAATCTATTTATATTAATAAAAACAAAAAAAGTGATGAGCCCAGCCGTAAAAGCGTTGGCCTCGCACTATTGTTGTTGTGTTGTGTTGTTTCAGGACTATAGTATGACATAACTCTTGTTATTATTAAATAACTTACCTGATTTTAGCGCCGCCACAAGAATTATTTTGGGGCATCGCGAACATCTTTAACAATTCAAAGTTGAACAGCTTGAACTTCTGTTGAAACCACGCATTTATATATAAGCGCCCTGGTTGAAACCAATTGACATTTGTGCCATGTTATCGTTTTGTAAACAAAGGGAACTGGACAACTTTTGCGAGGAATCATATAAAGACATTTATTTGTTATTGTTACCTCCGAATTTCGCCATTTATTCGCAATTTCGCCGCAATTCCTTGGCGCAAAAATTGTCACTAACATGTCGAAGAGGAAATTTCCCAAAGGAAATTTCCTACGATTTCCCAACACTGAACTGTATATATTACGGATGCTTTTGACGATACAGAATCATCAACTTTCTACCCATGTGTTTACGTATCCAAGCAAAAATAAAAGTATTTTTTTATATATAACTTCTTTTACACAGGTAATTAAAGAAATTGATGGATATTTCTCTTTTTATACAGCTTTTTTACGACTTACGAGGCTACTCAGCGCTCATCGACTGAGGATATACGATACTCGACATCCCTGCGGCAGCAAAAAAATTAGTCAAATAAAAACCATCGTGCGTTTGGTAACATTTATTGTCTTTATTGTCTGTCGCCTAAACAAATCAAGTGCAATTTCAATTTGTGACCGTGATGAGAAGAAATGCTGGATAACAGTTGACACCGGCATTGAACTGAAACAACCTTTGCCTATTCCGTGGTATATAAACGCATTTCCTGCAATATTTACACAATATAACTCGTTGATTATCCCGTATTCATGCGTACAATCACATTTTCTATGCCGAAGTGTGAATACTAGGTCTTGAAAAATATTCACAGAGTATTCGAAGGTATTCTAGGTCAGAATACGCGGTGTGTTTTATTCACAGGTATTCACATCGGAATACCCCCAATATTCCGAGGATATTCACAGTGAATATCTGTGAATACGTGTGAATATGGACCATATTCGAACTCATATTCGCACGTATTCACCTGTGAATACGCGGTTTTTCATGCAGTGACTGACAATACTCTCAGAAACAATAAGATGTTGAAATCTGAGAATTGATAGACAATTTTCTAACAAATCCAACTAAAGACACACACTATAATACAGGCACTATTATACTGTCATACAGGCAAAGTTTATTTGAACAAAATTTAACGACATTTATATGGTGGAATGGTAGAAAAACAAACTTTTCAAGTTAATGATTCCAAGGGAATAAAAAAATTGTAGTTTTTTGATGGTGTTACTTGTATCTATTGGATATTGTATTAACGCTTACCTAAAGATTGCTTTTGTTGCCAGGTTTACTCCTGGCACATCATTCCATTTGCTCGGTCGTGTGTCATTTTCGAAAATACTCCACTGATATTTGTCCATACCACTATGTGTATCCACAAATTGAGGCCAAGATGCAGATAACGTGCCTTCATTTACAATATATACAATCAACATTCCATCCTTTTGGGCCATTTCCCCTTTAACGTGTATTTTTCCAGTATAAACGGGATGAGATGTGTCAATATACACTCCGTCTGATTTTGCATCTTTGTAATGACTCACTCTATCGATGGCTCGTACAGTTATATAATAAGTATTGCCATCCGCCAGTTTTATCGCTTGGATTGTAACATTTGTTTGCAAGCCAGTGGTAGTCCATGATGTGATATTCCCGCCATTTTGATCAGTTAGTATGTATCTGTATTCGATGATTCCACTACCCCGAATACCGTCGTCAAATCCTTTCCAGTTTCCGTAAAATACTGTGTCATCCGATTGATAGTCAATGTCATCAGACATGCCATCATTAACTGTCCCTGGTCGTGGTGGATCATGGTCAATGAGTAAACAATTTGAAGAAGCTTGAGTTTTAAGTCCAGCCGCGTTTTCCCCTTCGACAATAGCGCAATATTCTTCTTCGGAGACAAGGGTTAGCTGTGGAACTAGAAATTTTTGTTTCAAACCGACTGAAGATAAACCTGACGACAGAAAGCCACCATGCTTTCTTTTGACACCAACATTGTAATTGACTATAGGTGTATGAGGGTCAGTAAACTGTTCCCAACTTATGCTGTAGCTGGAGCGCCAGTCAGCATATTGCAGATCTTGTGAAATGCTTGAGCCGTCACACACTGATTGCGAAAAAGGTTTTGATTTATCAATTGTTACACCATTACTGCTTACTTCTGAGTACAATCCTGCTTTTGTGTATGCTCGAACTTTTGTTGTAAGCTTGCTGCCGTCTGGGATTACTGAGATTGTTTTACTGAAAGAAACGTTCAAGTTTACATTCATAAAGGCTTGTACTTCACTTTGGCTGTTTGATAATTGTAGTTGATATTGCATTGCAACTTCGTACTTCGCAATACCGTGGAGTGATTGAAATCCTCCCCATGTTGCGCTGAACGTCATACTTGATTGAAACTGAAGGTCAGTAGAGCCTAATCCGTCATGGACCCAGCCACTTGTTGGAGTGCTGGTATCTATGGTAACTGGGTTACTGCACACAGGCAACCCAAATTCATCACGAATATTATGTGCCTGAACAACTACTTTATAGATTTCTGCATTCAGCAAATTTAGGCCACCAAGAATATGAGTATTCGTATTTGACGAAAGTATTGCATTTTCTTTTTCCAGATAACAGCTTCTATCAGCCTTTATTATGGACCATTTAATAGCGAGAGAACCGCAGGTGACAGAGAATCCACTAAGTTGAAAATACAATTTGTTTGTACTTGATTGAAATGAAACTGGCGTTGCAAAATTGGGAAGTATTATCCTCGCTTGACCATCTTGAATTCTTATTCCTGTTACAGCGTTTGGTGGACATGTTCCTAATACGCCATCGCATCTGCGAAACCCAAAAAGATATAAGTTTTCTATCTTCCTCAGTATGATTTTTTTTATTTTGAACTGTTTTTCCACCTAAACTGTTAAAATATATTTGTAAATATAATTTCTAGGGGTCATCGGACAATTTTTACCAAGCTTCTTTCTTGACCAGCCGTATAAACATAGAAAAACTAGAAAAACTAATATGAATAATTAAGTTATCTTTTCCCAACCTGAACAATTTCCTTTTACCTTTCAGGTTGATCGCAGAAGTCAATAGCCGCGCGGCAAATTGTCCCATTGTTCCTCATAACGTTTCTACATGTCCCGTCACCATTGCATTCGGAACTTTGTATACAACTGGACTGCGGGTATGACGATTGACAGCTGTATTGAATACCGACACAGTACCCATTATTACAAAGATCTTGCTTCGTACAGTCATTACCGTCACTGCACTTGGTTGCTGGTCGATTGGACCATGCAGAACTTGATTTAGAGGATTTATCATAGATGTCGCACCACTGACATTCATTATTTGGGTTGAGTTGTTTATGTGGATAGTTTATGTCTGAACAATAATGCAAATATGGTTATTTTCAGATAGTTTTAGCGCTTCATTGATAAGAAAATATATTGCTCTAATGTGATATTGCGCCATTGAGAACTGAGAATATTGATTCAGAATTATACATAAAATATTGATGCGGAATTATACATATAACAAGAATTCGATTTTAAGTTTAAATTTTACTCACCCGCTATTTTACAGGTACATTTTCCTGCCACATATCCATACCCGATGTGTAAGCTGCAGTCACGGCCATTGCAGGATTGACAATCATTATTGCATGAAAAACGGATCCCTTCACATTGACCATTTTTACATTTGTCAGACTTTGTGCAAATGTCACGGTCATCGCATGGAGCGCCATGCTTCATCGTCCAGGTTGTCGTACTTGATGATGGAAGGCACCACTGAGGGGAATATGTAAATATGAAGTTAGAGTATGAGCTTCTTTGGTTTTGTTAATCGTTATGTTAAATCGTGGAAAAATCGGTTTTGGTTTTCCAACAAATTTCTCACCCATTCTCGTCCCATCCCGAGTACAAAGGAATCACCTTGGTTGATAAATACCGAAACCATGATCACATTTAAGAATCAAAATATAATTCAAACAAGGCACAGATTGAGACTGTAAATTTTCGACTTTATTACAAAGTCATCTTCAGACAGAATGAAATACAATACTTTACAACGCATATATATGCAACACAGAGAGAGAGCGCACGTGTCAATCCAGCATGTAGGCGGAAGGCCGGTAAACCAACCTGGATTGCCGGATTGACACGTGCGCTCTCTCTCTCTCTCTCTGTGTTGTATATATATGCGTTGTAAAGTATTGTATTTCATTCTGTCTGAAGATGACTTTGTAATAAAGTCGAAAATTTACAGTCTTAATCTGTGTCTTGTTTGAATTATATTTTGATTCTCAAGATGTCTTGTTTATTCGGAATTTGCTTTTTACTTTACTTTTTTAAATTGTCGGCTGGTCATGGTTTATGATCACATTTGATTAAAGAGAATGATTCTTACTTTACCTGGCACACATTTCTTGGTTTATTCGTATTTGCAGTATAACATGTGTCCACATTGTTAGTGTTAATAATGCAATATCCGTTTCTTATTTGGCATGCGTCGTTGTGATGGTCTTGGCATGCTAGACAAGTGAAAGGCTCCCCTCGACATTCCCCATTTATACAACGATCATTTCTTGTCTTTACATTATTATCACTGCATCCAAGGTTGTTATTTGCCGTCCAAGTTCTAGGCCTGTTGCTGTTACATTGCTATAAAAGATGCGTTAGATGATGATGACGATGATGACGACGATGATGATAATGAACAATGTTGATGATGATGATGATAATGATGATGATGATGATGAAAATGAACGATGATGATGATGATGAACAATGTTGATGATAATGATGATGAAAATGAACGATGATGATGATAATGATAATGTTGATGATGATGATGATAATGATGATGATGAAAATGAACGATGATGATGATGAGCGATGAGGCGGGAACGTCGAAACTCACCTGACAAGGCTTTCCAGGTCTTAAATTACCATGCTTGTAACATTTCCTTCCGATAACACAGAAACCTGGATTGATCACACACCCACTTCCATCACAACTCTCACAGTGTAGACACGTGAAAGGCGTTCCTTTACATACCCCGTTCACGCAATGATCATTCCTCGTACACAAATTATTGTCACTGCAAGACAACTTATTGTTGTTTGTCCACACTGTTTTGCGAAACCTTTGACAATCCTTAATGTTAAGAAAATATTAAATTTGTTTTGTGAAATTCAATCGTATAGAAAAAATTTGAAAATTGAATACATATATTTTTCCTGCATGAAACAATGTCGCGTAACATCCAGTTGCCTGAGAAGTGTTCAGCCAAGCTCATCTTATGGCATTTGTTCATACTGTCGGTTTGTGCTTGAAATGATGCTTCATGATGATGATGATGATGATGATGATGATGATGATGATGATGATGATGATGATGATGATGATGATGATGATGATGACGACGATGACGACTACGATGATGATGATGATGATGACGACGATGATGATGGCGACGACGACGATGATGATGATGACGACGACGACGATGATGATGACGATGATGATGAAGGATGTTGTTGATGATGATGATGATTGAACATGTTCAGTTTTGTTCGACAGGACTGCGACGGCATTAAGATAACTTCACCTGACATTGATTATATTGATTAATATCACCGTATTCAAAGCAATTTCCACCAATCTTGCATTGCAGAAGTCGACAATTTAGGCCACGTTTTGTGTAACAGTGATAGCAGGAGCAAGAAAAACTTCCGTAAGTATTTTTGCAAATATGTTCACATGGACGCCTTAAACATTCATTCACATCTTAAAAGGAATAAAAATTAACAGTCAGTAGTCGTATATTGACAGTATTAATTCTTTTGGCCGATTATTAAAGCAGACAAAAAGATATGGCAAACCTTCAATTCCACTCACACAATTCATTACCAGAAATTTTATGGTCGCATGTATACTAATTTTCATTTCATTTCATAATGATCTTCAAATTTTACCATAAAATACATAAACTTAAAGTACAAATGTAATTGTTATATAGGTGCTGCATGCGTATTTTAAATGTGATTGGTTCATTCGTAGTGACATGACTTTGTTGCCCGCTTCTTCTCATAACAAAGTAAAGTGGGTTTTTTTAAATGAAATTGTTGTGTAACATGTATGTTTTTTGTTCCTATATAACAAAACACTTAATGTACACTACCTCGGGAAATAGTGAGTTTTGTTTTCGTTGGAGTCTCAATGTTTCGCTCGACTTCGTCTCGGGAAACATTCAGACTCATAGAAAAACAAACTCACTATTTCCATCGGGAGCATACATTAAGTGTAAAAATTACAAAACTTAAAATTGCCTTCGCTCTGGACCAGTGCCCACTGTTTGCCAATCTCAGTATCAATTAGCAGCCGTTAGGCAAAATTTTCAAAAAGATGCATATGAGGAGGAAGAGGAACAAAATTTCTTGGAGTATTACACGTCAATCCGAACCGAAATATTCGTAGGAATGTGAGCGAAGTAATAATAAAATATAAGTTCGTTGAGAGAACATGGCAAAAACTTTGAGCAATATATTTTTAAAAATTTGGCGAATTGCTGAAATATTGAAGGTAAGAAAGTCGGTTACCAAAATTTTTAAACAGCTGCTTTATCGATCTAGAAGTCGGTAAACAGTGGACGAAGTCTGTGGTTGCGAATTTTACGTCTTATATTTCCACTCAATTTTATAGTATTTTATTGTAAAACTCAAAATTCATTATGATGTACCATGAAATGCAAATTAATACACAAACGACAGCCATTTTGTCACTAATCTGTGGTAATGAATAATGCATTCAAACTCCAATTAAAAGCTTGATTTCAAAGAAGAAAACTTTTCGGGAAATCTTATGTAGATTTTACTCACCATACTCACAGCAGGTTCCTCTAAAACCAGGAATGCAAGAACAACGACCAGGGATTGCTCTTCCTCCGTTTTTACATTTATTTCTATTACATGATCTTCTCTCGCTCAACGAATATGGACATGCACCACCGCATGACTCACTGCGAATTTTTCTTCTTGCTCGCGTCTGTATTCCTGTAGTACCACATCTATGACTACATCCACTCCACCATGACCATGAACTTACTTCGCAGTTTACACTTGAACAGCCACCACCGCCCCCGCCGCCCCCGCCTCCCGGCTTACAACCACTGACCAAAACATTTCGAATTGACAGGAGTGAAATACAAGCCAGTACGAAATTCAATGCAATCCCTAACATAGAAATTTTTTTATCTGTACAGTGAAGTAAATCCTGATTTAGCAGGATTTTCATTTTTCAATTTGGGGACTTTACGTTTTTTCTTTTGTTTGTATCATAATTTATTGATTGAAATAGTTAACATATTCAAGTTTAGTTACCATATTTTTGACATTTCGTATTATTAATTATCTTACGATAGGTATATATACTGTATATTAGTCACGGTAGCTTAAACGAGCTATAAGTTAGCTGGCTTGGAAGCTTGAATATAGATTGAAATATATTTACAATATATAAAGTAGTAAACGGTTAGGAGAAGAAGAAGGTACAGAACTACAATCCAATGCACTATAATCCCCGAGCCGGTGCGAAGCATCGGGTGAGGGTACTAATTCCGCCAGGAGATTCCGGAATTACCGCCCGGAGATTTTAATTACACCTGGGAATGCACATGCGAAATCGAAGTTGTCCGCTATTATGTCATGGACGTTGGGCGTTTTGTAAGTTATGCGCATGCGTGAGTTTAAGACGAGTTTAAATTGGTAACTAGCAAACGTTTGCAAACGTGCGATTGGCTAAATTAAAATTTTGATGGTCTTGAAAATATACGAAAAATTGACTCGTAAAATTGATTAGAAGAGAATGTAAAAGATGCTTTTGTGGATAGAAAAATTTTGATTAAAATGGATGGAGTGTTTTTGAACAGGTAAATGGGTAGATTTTGTATCTTAAAGCATGCAAGTATTTTACACGTTTAATACGTTGATTTATTTTGAATTTAATCGTCAATTTAAAAAGAAATTGAAATTTCGCTAAAAATTGTAGTAATCGTAGCACAATAATGATTATAGTTGAATTTGATAGCTCAGCCTCGAGAGTCTACTTTATAATTATTGTACTTGATGTATAGGATACAACTGCGATTATTCAGCAGAAACGAGTATTATAGAATTTCACTGTTGGAAATGTATGTTTATTGCTTCAGGCGAGGGGATTTTGCATGGATGTATTTCTAGTATGTAATTACACTTATATATAAAAGTAAAAAGTTAGGGAAAGAAACAAAGTAGCTATAGCATGAGCATAAATTATCAAATTTCAACCTATTCTTTGCCTTAATATCCATTTGAAGGAAATTAGAGTTTCAGCGATTTTTGCCTCACGAGGGAGTCACTCACATTCCAATTCGTTGCTGCATTTTAATTGAAACACCTCTTGCCAAATTATTTTTTTGGCATATGCGGTGCCGTAGGTTAGGACACTTATATAAATATATAATTATTATTTGTGCGTATTTTGCAGGTATGAATAAAGCAATCATGCATGTTTAAGAATAATGTAAAGTGAATGACAATTATAACAATATTATTCATTAAGATTGAGAACGATTTGAACAAATGTCAAGCACAAAAGCGTGCTGATGTTGGATTACTTTTTTTATACACCTTCAAATTATTTTAATTTTGTGAAAATAAAATAAAAATGAAAGACAGTAGCATGTGTCCACACTAACATTTGGTTTCAGATTGAGAAAGAGTGCACAAATAGATAGTTAACCACCGCGGAACCGGGAGGTACGGAGCGAGTATTCTAACAATGATTTCCCTCAACAGTTTTTCCCACCAAAGAATTTCAGTCCATGCATATGATATATATACTTCAACGGAATCTATATTGAAAGCCAAAATGGCTCCAGCAGCATTCCTATATTTTGCAGGCAAACTACAATCCTTATAACCATAGCACACACCATAGCACGCACTGTCGTAATAACTGAATAGGTGTAATATTATAATGAAACATTAAGAATTAATGTATATGTAAGATAAATTATATCCAATGCATTTTTAACTTGCAAAAAGAAAGACTGCGTTCGTGAAATGAAATTTGGTTGTATAGGTATATGCATGCAAATCACAAAAGTTTTATCGTGTAGAAATACACGAATGGAATATCACATGGAACGTCGGTATATTCTCACTTTCCAGAATATATACGTACATCATGCATTAAAAAGATTCATATGTATTTCTTACCTTGTTTCTGCTGTTTATACATGTTTGGTGTTCTTGTTTTTTACAACTGCTGCGATACCGAAAGCTTGATACTTTATCAAGAGCTATACGGTGACTTCCTGTCGCCATTTACGAGATACTCAATCTCGTAAATGGCGACAGAGCAGATATTAATCGGTTTTTTTCAAGGGTGGTCGTCAATTCTGAGATGTTTTTGTCATAGAATTATTGTGTGTTGTAAGTTGGGCATGATGCATATTCAAGAATTGGTACTATTGTTTATGATAATTTTCTCCGTTACAAAAGAAGCAAAAGCGATAGAGCTGTTTCCTGGTTTGAAATGTACTTATAACTATGACTTGGAAGTCCACAACCATCGCGGAAAACGCTCAACTAAAGAGTTGAATTTCAAAGTTAACGTTCAGGTACATAAATTATATAGATAGATATAAAACTCGGAATCAACGTGGCCTATTGATAAAGATCAACGAATCTCCCTTAAAGCTAAGTAACACTTTGAAGCTTTTTTCTTAAATGTATGGTATGGTATATGAATGAATAGTATACTCCGGGTTAAGCTGCCAACACCCACAATGCATCTATAAGTCTTTGCATGGTACTACTTATCAATTCTCTGTAAAGCATGCGATTCCCTTGTAGGATAAAAGTAATAAAGAGCCGCTTTTCTTGGTTTAAATACAATTTCGATTATGTATTGGACGTCGCGAATACGCATTGTGCATAAAAAACACTAATTAACCAAGGAATAGTATTTTTTTAGTATTCGCTCATGCTGGTAATTGTTTCATAAAGTATTGTAAGCCATATATACTTCCAGCTCTATTTAAATCATTGTGACAGGAATGCAAGGTCAATACAATCTGTTTAGTATTAGTTTGCACATAAAGTACACGTTTAATATATTTAATTTCGACAATCATTGCAATATATTTTCTCCTTATTTGTCTTAGGACATTTTGTAGTCAGTAACGAAAGTAATTATCCATGCACCCCTAGTAATAAGCAAGGTTCAAGCTCTGTTAAAATAGTGGCATCGTATAGATACAATATAGCAACTGCAAGCTGCTTGGTTGTTTCTTGAGTGTTATGATATTCAAACTTAACATGAACATTTTTATTAATCACTGAGCCGTGCAAAATGATAAAGTGCTCGCACATGGTATATAAATTACTTTATTAGCGTGCGCAATATTAAGATAGACCAGACTTTTCGCTTTCGAATGATACTTTTTTGTGCCAAATGGAGAAAAAATGAGCAGATATGGGTTCGTTAAAATATCTAAACACGCAATAAGCTAAACACGCAAAAGAAAAGCAATTATGTTATACTCATTTTGACAGATGGATCGAAATCATCGAATAACCCAAATAAGGCAGTTATGTGTGGCCGGGGGTATACAATATAGTGACTACAAATATTTACGACGAAATAAACACCAAAAATTGCCCGAGTTTACTAAAATCACTCATTTTAGTAAAAATTGGCCGAAATTTGCAAGCGTGTCATTTAAATGTTTCTGCATGGGAAGGAGCAGCTGCCTTCCAACGCCCTAGGGACGCCGGAACAGGGGGAAGCAGGGGCAACTGCCCCCCTTGCCTATTACCAGCACGAGCAAGGAGGGCAGAAATGCCCTTTCATTTTAAAAGATTAATTACATTCTATATCCGAAGTAAAAGTGCCACAAACGAGCATCAAGAATAACACAATCGTCTAGACACAGAAATTATCTTGGAAAGAGAAATCACGACGATACGAAGTTCAATTGACGATGTTTTGCAAACATTCTTTATTAATGCGCACCTACAGAGGTGCCCTTTCACCAAAATCTGCCCCCCTTGCCCTCGCATCGTTCCGGCGTCCCTGCAACGCCCCGTACCCCTATATGACTTGTATGTTGTTTTAGCAGTGTCCCAAAAACTATGTACTATGTATGCAAAACAATGTAATAGTTAGCTTAAAGCCTGGCGTACACTAGAGCTTTCTGCTTAGCCAAATGTCATTCGCGGAAGCGTGTTTAAGTAGGAAGCTCCAATATGCAGTAAACTTTTTTGAGTTTTTGTTCACTCGTGGTGCATGGAGCTGCCAAATATTCAATATGTTGAATATTTTTTGGCATGAATGACGTTTGTCTCTGCGTGTGCGTTGAAGCTGAAGGAGCAAGCTCGCAACAACTCAGCAAAGTGCATGCGTATCAGCGACAGTCAGTAAACGAAAGCAAGATTTCCGAAGAGGACGTCGTAGGCGATTACGAGCGCTATAGCTGCACATCGACAGACATGGTCAAGGCGCTGGATTATTCGGAGAAAAACAAGGGGCGCATGCAAATCAAATATCGCCCGAAATATTTCGGCCGGATATCATCGCTTAAATAGAGTAGCATAATATAATAAAATCTTGGCAATGGTTTGCCCAATAATTTCAAAAAAAGATTCCGCAAATACCTCTTTAGAATCTCAATACAATACAACAATACAATATAGCTACTGCAAGCTGCTTGATGGTTTCTTGAGTATTATGATATTCAAACCTAACATTATTTATTTATTGCATGTGAAAATGGTAACCTAATCTAAGTGCACTATTGTGCGTAAATTACTTGACTATAGCTTGCGCAATATTAAGATAGATCAGACTTTTCGATCTTGAATGATACGTTTGACGTTTTTTGTACCAAATGGAGAAAAAACGATCTTATACGAGTTCATCTCTGCTCTATAAGCTAAACATGCAAGAGAAAAGGAAATTAATCACGAACATGTTGAGGCCGCTTTCGTTAAAACGATGCTTGATTTAAAACAATTAACTATGAAAGGGCCACAAAAATGAGTTCTTTACAGAATCCGCAGAGATGGAAATATGCGATTTTCATCAAAATATTAATCGAGCTCATATTTTTCTATAGTACAAGAATGTGTCATATCACGCCACATTAATGTTTTCCTATTGGCTAAAACTAATTAGATTCTACTGTCCCGGATAATGTTTCCTAGTCTGCTGATGTAAATATAAATCTAGATTTACTATTACTAGCCCTAAATTATTTTAATTATAATGCCTGTCCTAGGCAGTCTCCGACACTGTCATCATGCATAAAAATGCTTTGTCAAACATTTATACACTTGAGGGTGCCAAAGGGTGCTAAGGCATTCAAACTCGAACTATTATATTGTTATGGGTGCATAATTTAATAGTTTTTGGGGTTTTGGGGACACTGCGCTAAAACAACATACAGTCATAGGCGTACGGGGTAATTTTTGGTGTTTTTATAAAGATACGGGCAAGTGGCGAACTCAAAAATGATTGTCGTTACGTTATGCAAATTTTTATCTTAAACACTAAGGTTGGGTTAAAAAAAATTATATCCCTACAGGGTTGGGTAAATAAATTTCTGAATTAAGGTGGGTGAAAATATTCTTTGTACCCGGCTATAAAATTAATAATGATCCCGGTCCCTTATTGCATTTGTCAAAGTTAGTTTAAGATAATTATAATTATAATTGTTCAACCCAATGTTATGTAACATTAAATGAACTTGAAATTTCCATTACCGAAACTCTTGAAACAAGAGTGAAAACAATGAATATCCCCGACCACATGCAGAGATATTGTGCATGCTGTCTGTAAAACATATGCCTGAAATTTTCGTTTTGTGGTACTTGTAATCGGATCGAGAAATATGTATGCACGCATTGATTGAGCTACATGTGGGGAGGGCATTTCCAGTTTTGGAAAAATTGTAATCAATACTGTGCACGCTTTAAAGTCGTATCGTTTGCAATCGTCTTAGATTTGCCTATATACCTCAGGATAACGATTACAATACCCATGCCCATACAGATCGGCCGTATTTTAACTAGTACGTAATCTTAGCTCGTAGCTAGTATTCGGTTAGCTTGTTATTTTTTTTAGATTTTTTTATACCAAAAATACGCAGAGAATCCTATATTTCCATTCAGTATTCATTACCTTCTTAGGGGGTGACAAAAATTGAGTCTTAACAATCCCGTATTTTATCTATCAAAATAGGTTGACGCTGAAGTTTTAAATCGACATTCATTGGAACAGGATGCTTACATCATAAGCTTACATCTGAGTCATCCTCGCATAATTCGTATAAAAAACGGTCGTCGTATCAAACATAGCGTTGACCACGACTTGGAAAAACGGTTGTCTGAACCATTTTTCTTCCTTCAAGATGTAAAAGGGAACATCTCCAAGGTGTTTTTTCCACACAATGATCTACCGGAACTTGTTGGTCTGAAGAAAGGTACATATATACAATTGTAATCGGCTGCTGACAGTGCTGTAGTATCTCAAACGGTCGGCTTCTAGTGTGGGAAGTTTTTAAACAGGGGGAAATTCCGTTTTGCGTGTGTGTGAGCGTTTGTCTTTACATCGAGTATGCTGATACTTCTTGTCCCAGGCTAAACACGCGCGACCATTTGTTTATATTTGACGGAATCTAGCGCTTCAAATTAGCGCTAAATTTCGTCCGCGAACATGCACTTTTTTTGCAATTGAATTATTATATTTTTAGAATATGTCTTCATATCACAATTATTTCATTATCATATTTAGCATTCATGTGGTACGCCGCCACCTGGTTATCTTGGAACGGACCAAAATTCAATCCGTTTTTTTGTCTATATTGTCGCTATTTTTTCAAATTTAATTATTTTAGGGATTGTTAGTGCGTTCAACTTCAAAATTCATCCAGATTCGCAGAACACTTCATACAGTACAGAAGAAGAAGATGACTCTGGCATTCACATTGCATATTACGACGTTAACAAAACAAACTCCAACAACCTTCGCCTTACAAAAAAATGGAGCAGCAAAGACTATCTTAAACATGCAGACGGGCGGCCAGTAGAAGGAAAACAGCACACTGAAGGTTATTATTACATAACTGTGGACATTCAAGGTGGTACAATCAGAAACACAAGAAGATATCATTCTTCTTATTTGCAAAGTGATAAACCGTATAACCGACCGATGAATATACCTGAATTTCAACAACATCCTGATTTAAACCTTAAAGCATCCGGGGAAAGTCATCTTAACCTCCTTCACTGTGTAAATACACCCCCAATTAAGAAGAGAGCCAAAAGGTCCGTGGAAAAATCGCAGTCCTTATTAGAAAATCTTAAACAAGACACATTAACTTATGGTGAAATGCAAAACTTGAAATGGTCTGCTGTTGGTGATCCTGCTCAATCGAACCGTACATTTTACGAGTTACTTCGATGCTATTCCGACCCTTCTGTCAAAGAAAATGAATTATCGCAGTGCATCAAGGAACTTCATTATTTTGCGAGAACTAATGACGAAATTTTCAACATGATAGTCAACTTAACGCTAGAACGATCCCACTTAAATTTCTCCTCATGGTCAGCGTTGGTTGGCTCTATTGTCTCTCGAGGAGATTATGAAACTCAAAAGACTTTAAGCCGAATAATATTAACTGAGGAACCTCGACCACTCTCGATTGAAGAACATGCAAAGATACTCGAAGCAGTATACTTCATCCCTTCCGGACCATTGTACCCAGAATTATTCCAAGCTCTATTATCTCTTCATAAGAATTCCAGTAAAAGCGACGAGATAACTGTTCGCGCTATGTTAGTGACCGCAGGTTTAGTACGCCGGTCTCATGACGCTGGTTACAATAGAACATTGTCAGAATTCATAGCCCAACATTTACACCACAGTTTTAAGACACATCCAGCACGATTCCATGGCAGGGAAAGTCAGTCCTATGAAACTTACTTATGGAATCATTTATGTGCTTTTGGAAATTTAGGACATATTTCCTCGTTAAGTCTAATAACAAGATATTTGGATCATGACAGCTCAGGTATTCGATACTTTGCAGTTTCAGCTTTGCGGAAACTTCCACAACAGCACACAGATCACCACCTATTACGAATTCTTCGGACTGACGAACAGGTAACAGTAAAAGCAGGTGTGATAGAGGTTTTCCTAGAACGACGACAGAACCTGAGTGAGGAACTACGCGATGCCATCGAAGATGTTTTGTGGCGATCTGAGGAAGGCGACGAACTAGATTCTAAGATTACTGAATTCCTGGAAAACCATAATGAAAAGTCTCATCACGTGATAAAGAACTTACGAAAGCGAAGGTCCATTATTCGGCGGAAGAAAAGAGCACTTATCCCAGCATTGAAGCCCAGAGAATTTTCCTTAGGGGTAAAAAAGGAATGGAGAAAAGCATTCGGCGGTAGTAAAGCTGGAGCAGAGGCTGTCATGCGATTTGCCAACCATGTGAAACTAAGAATCGGAATTTTTGGTGGGAGCTTCGAAGTAAACTTGGATAATTTGGCGTTGTTTCGGGCTCACGCTTTAATGTGGAGTTTCGACATTGTCCATGGAAAGGCAGCATTCAAGATGGGAGCAGGATTCAAGAATGACATTCCTAAAGATATTATCCATACAGTCGCCGATACCGCCGATAGTTTTCTAGCTAAGGTTGATGCAATTTCGAGCATTTTCACCGAACATCTTCAAAAATTTCTCGACAAATTGAAGATTTATATTCCATTCATCCCTGATGCTTTTCTGAAATTTATCTCACAAACTGTCGAGTTCCTAAATCGAACAATTCATGCCTCGCGCTTTGGAAAATTCTTTAACCGAATTGTGGGAAACTGTAGAAACGTGTGGCACATCCATGCACTTTGGTCAAAGATTGAAAATTTAGTAAAGAAACTTTCCCTTAGCATTGATAAAATAAATCTGTCGACTGGATCTCTAGCAGACGGATTTGGTTTCCTCAAAAAACTGGTGGATCTTTTCGCGAAACTTGGCTTAAGGCTTCCGCGTGGTTTACCGATAGATTTCAATATAAAAAAATTCCTGGCACATATCAATGGCGCATTTCCTTCAATTAGTTATGGTGTCCAAGATTATTTTAAGGGGTTGGGAATTAGCTATCCCAAAACATTCTTTAAAATGTTTCACTTCAATGCAACTCTCAATTTTATCCCGTCTTTGAACAAATTTAGGATTGCAACGTTGCGTTTGAAAATGTTTGGAAATAATTTCTTGGAAATGCTTTCTGTATTCCGCGATATGTTAAACTTCGACCTACCCGGACTTTTCATCAAGATATTTAATCACGACTTTGTCAAAACTCAAGATTTTGACTTTGGGTTGCCCTATGATTGGAGAAAAAAATTTAATTTCAAAATAACATTTTCGGATCCCGATTTCGAAAAATTTAAAAACTTATTTCGCTTCTTATTCGAGATTTTTTTAAATCTTGATAGTTCAAATTTCGAATTCCGACAATTCTTTCGAGAAATACTACCTAAAATGAGAATCAAAATCGAAGCAAAGAAGCTGTTTGTGGGTGCAGACAATACAAACATAGCGAAATGGTTTCAACTTCTTATTACAGATTTTTACAATCTCATAAATCAGTTTGATTGGAAGATGTCGGAGGTTAGCAATAGTGCAAATTTTTTGGATAGCCTATCAAAAATCTCTAACGACTTCTTGGACTATGCACTTCCGAATATTTGCAAATTACAAGATTTTATGGTGAAATCAGCGGGGACATTTAAGGAGTTTGGAGAAAACATTGAAAATGATGCCATTGTTGAAATCAGAAAAATTACGAATGAAGCCCAGAAGACGATAACAGAAGTTAAAAATATCTCGGTCTTTGTTGACGAGTTCATCGATGAACTAAAGATTAACGTATCAAGTACAGCAAAGACCTTCGTTCAGCAATATTTGACCACATTAGAAGGATCTTTGGAAAGTGTTGAAGAACTTGCAGATATTACCGCGGAATTCACAGCAAAAACAAGCGCTAAATTAAAGGGATTTTGTTACAAAACTGCTGACATATCTGGTGAAATTTTGGACAAAATTCAGTCAGAAGCACAAAACGCTGTCAAAGAAATCAGTGATTTCATTACGTCAAATTCAGAAGGAATAACTGACCTCATTGATAAATTTAAATCAATTGTAACAAATGTAGAAGAATGGCACAAGCAAAATTTAGAAAAGCGTTTAGGGAAAGTTGCAATCATTAGTCAAACAATTGACGAGCTGTTATCTCTTGTCAAAAATGACAACAAACTTTTCTCCGACATTTCTAAGGTTTTCAAGAATATAAACAATGTCATACAACACCTTAACGATTTACCAACATATGCTCAGAAAGCGCATGATTTTGCAGATAAGATTAACGATTTCGCGACCAATGGCAAACTATGGGAAACAGAAATTAAGAAACTGGACGTTCGAAAGCATTTCAAATTGGATTTTGATAAACACTTACAAGAACTTTGCAAAGAGTTTCAATCCTTTGAAAAAGATATCACAAAGCATATTCAAGGTGACAATTTATTCAAGACATTCCGAAAATTTGTCACAACGGAAACTGACAATCTCATCATGAATTCTGTTGAGAAATTAAACATCGTAAAAATACCGTTGGAAAAAGCAAGCAAGGATCTAGAGAAAATGTCGAACTCAATTGCAGAAATTGAAGCAGTATTGATAGAATTACGACCATTCGCTGATAACTTCTCACCAGTATCACAAGAAATTAGCCAGTTACCAAACTGCTCAGATATTCAATCTATCTTTGCAGACATAATAAAAAGATGTGGAAAAGAAACAATAGCGTTCGGAAAACAAACCTACAATGAATATGCTGCTATGAAAACTGAAGTTGAAGCGTTTTTAGAACTACAATCCCACGTCGAGTGGGAAGGTTTAAGTTTGCATAAATGCATCAAAGGGGAAACGTGTCTGACTAACGTATATAAAAAGCAAGCCCAAAGCGTTTTAAATCAAATGAAGAAGCTCAGAAAGATATTTAATAATTTTGAATTTTTGGACGAATTGAAAATATGTAAACAAAAAGTGGAAGATGTGTCAGGAGTCTTCGCAAAAATAAAGAATATTTCAACTTTGATTAAGGAATTCTCATTTAAAGAAGAAGTTAATAAGATTAAGGATTTGTCTCAAAGGATCACAGGAAAATATTTTGGCAATGACTACAAAACAGAAGTAAGTGAATGTCTTTAATTGTTATGCAAAAACATAGGATGAAAGATCGATCATATGAAGAGAGGGGGCAAGGATCATTTCCCAAATTATCATCCCGAATTACCCAAATTATTTCCCGAAAATTAAGTCTCTAATCAACATGTCAGAATTTTTTAAATCTCCAAATCAACATCAGAATTTCTCAGACATTCGAGAATCTATCAAAACCCTTCTCCCCTCCAAAAAAATAGTAGATTACAGATTTTAGACTATTTATTTTATGGAATTGCTTGATATATAGCTTACCTTTTTCGCCTAATCAACTAACTAAAAAGCTTATAGACAAACATATAGAATTACTAATAGAAGAGTTCATGTAGCATGCTTTAGAATTCAAGCATGATGATTGCACCATTTACGCCCGCTGTTATTAATTCATCATCATTCTTTTTAAAATCAGAAGAAGAAACGGTCTGCCTTGAAGCCTGCAAGAATTGAAAAGAGTATTGCCGAACACATTAGAAAAGTCGAAGAAACGCGAAAAATGATAGAAAAACTGATTACAGAAGTCATTAGTGTTTTTCAAAAGGTATCTCGTGACAATATTGAACCATTTCAAAAAAAGCTAACAGATGTCCAACAAAAGTTTAGTATTTTGTTTCAAATAAAAGATAAGTCTATATCCATCAGTTCCATTCTGAAGCCACTCAAATCAGTTCTTGGAACAATGATTGGTTTCACTGAAACGTGCAATAAAGTCGTCGAACCTTTTGAAAAAGGAATCTTAGATGTACTTCGGAAAACATCCGATTTTGCTGAAATATTTGACAACAAACTGAAATATTATGGTAATAAAGTGAGAGACGTTTCTGAATTTATAAACAATCTGGTTGGCAAGATTGTATCGTTTCTTGATACAATACAGCTTCGGCAAAAGGGTTTGGACATCCGGGATTATAAAAAATGGAATCAATACAAACACTGTTCTGCTGAGGTTTGCTTGAGACTATTAAGAAGATCCACGTGGCTCTATCTTAACACCATTTTCTTGTGGAAGTATCCACACTTGGACGATTTGTCGTCGACGACGTTGTCAAATACGGGCAAGTGGCTGATACCTGGTCTTTTTGATGATTACAAGATACGCAGTATAGCTCAGCTGTCCAACAACGAAATGATATTAGGAATGCGTGGTGTTTCGTCGAATGCACAGAAAGCGTCCTTGTTAGTGGTAGTTGATATCAGGTCGTCAAGCACTGCTATTCTTAAAATTGTTCAATTAGAACATGACGGCTCGCCTTTTCTAGGCGACATGGGCGGTTTAGTAGTTGTCAATAACCTCATTTGGATGAGTAGTGGATACCGTCTTCACGGTATATCCTTATCCAAACTGCGTAATAGCATGTCCACTAAACGTCCAGTCACTATCAGCATCAGTAAAACAAAATCCTTCAACTACCAAATAACATCAATTTCATACGATGATCGAGACAGCAAAATTTGGGTATTGTATAGTAACAGTTTAAAAGTACAAAGCTATGCTATGAGTCCATTTGGAGATATACTGCAAGAGAAAGATACTCTGATTACTGAGCAACACACACGCGGTTTTACCATTGTACGACAGTATGGTATCAAATACGCATGCGTTGCTAAGTGTTCTTTAGCTGCAGGTTACCAGTGCAGATTGGAATTCCACAAGATTGATGGTGGAGCTCTCGACGAGTCAACTATTTTACGAGCTGTGCGAACACCAACAGGCCTAGAGGCTATCCAAACAGTGGACTCAGAAAATGTCGTCGCAGCGTTTTCAAGTGGAACATTCTCGGAAAGAGACAAAATTAAAAGAATTGCGGGAGATTTTGAAGATCGTTTTTTTAAATTCAAAGTACCAGTTCTTAAAACTGAGTTCACAATCACTGAAAATTGCCTTTTCTTTAAAGTAGCTTTGGATTACTTAATCCCTCGTCAGCGCCTATTCCCTTTCGGAGAAATGAAATGTGGTACCCGAAGAAAGAGAAGTGCTATAGAAAAGGTTTTGGATAAGGATGTGTACACAGAAGAACTAGAAAAACATCGCAGAGTTCGACGACAAGCAGCTGATGAAGTGACCTGTTTATGGAGTGTAGAAGGAAAGCCTCTAACTGGTAATTATACAGATATAGTTAATCACTAAATTTTCGGATTCATATTGTTGTAAAATATTGTTGATGATATCTTCTTCGTTGTAAGGCGTGTGTCAGATACCAAGCAGGTGTTAAATACCTAGCAGGTTGATTTGTAAACTGTTTACCCGTTTCCTTTGATGCTTTTTTATACAGGGTCCATTCCAGTTGTTCCAGAAATTAGTTTCACTATATCAGTATTTGGCATACCAGTAAAATTTTTCTTTGGAGCAGATCTGTACTACTTCGGGAACTATAAAATATCGCTTTGCTTACGTGATAGAGAAGTACGTCTTGCTCTCATACCTGGAGTGTGGCTAACTGTTTACGCGGGAGCTAGTCTGCCATTATTAATCATTGAAGCAGGTATAACATTTGAGGCAAGACTTCTGGAGACATATCTTATCCCTGAACTAACAGTGCGTGTAGACAAATGGCCATTGAACGCTTGTATACAGTTGAAATTGCAAATGACTCCCTTGAGTATACGTGTATATCTTTGGTTTCGCTACAGACTTTGCATTAAAATAAGTTACAAGCCTTGGTTTTCATTAAGTATCTCAATTAATTGGTGTTCCAAGATAACGTTTGCAGAATGGACTTGGTCGACGCGAGCGATTCATCACACGTTATTTAACAATTGTAATCAAAACAGAGACACTTCGCGTCCTGGTGTAGGACAATGTACTGCAAAGCAGGTTGGGGATCGGAAGTACTTCATTCAATGGCAGGGTTTTACCGAAGACACAAAAATCAATATATATATTGTTATGATCGGGTCAATCGCTGGTTCTGGAGACGATCACTATTCAATTCACGGAGAACGACAGAGTCTTCTAGTCCCTGATCTCAATATTATGCATGGTAGGTCTGTTTATGTTGGTGTGTATGCAATGAATGCTGATTTGCTTAAAAGTGATGTCGCTCATTGCCCTGTATTTACTGCCAAACGAAGATCACCCGTTATAACTTTCATCAACGATGGAGATTCTTTGGATGACATAGACTATCAAATGGATACTACCAGCCTTGCGATGAAATATGGTTTCAAAGGAACCTTTGAAGAATTATCGAGTGTTAGATGGGGAATCTCGTCATCCTCGAATTGCTCATTTTCTGAAAGTGAAGTCGATGTGTTACCGTTGAAAACTATTGGTGATACTTACACAATTAAAAAAACAGGCTTGAATCTGACAAGTGGTTGGAAATACTATGTTAGAGTAGTGGTCGTCAACCAGTTGGGATTGGCCAGCGTGGCTTGCAGTGATGGCATAACAATAGACACTACTCCACCAATACCACGTAACTTCACAGTTGGTAAGAAAGGGACGAAATTTATTCCTTCCGTACGACGGGTTTCTGGAAAATTTCAACACTTTATAGATAACGAAAGTCCTATTGTTAAATACGAGTGGAAACTAATTGACGAGAGTACAGGCAATGATGCAACACCATCCACAAGAATAGCATTGACACAAACGTCCCCATTACTTTATGGTTTGAGTTTAACACCAGGAAAAAAATATACCGCTGTACTCAAGGGAACAAATGCTGTTGGTCTTCACGCAGTTGTTAACGTGTCTGGCATCACACCTGATGACACGATACCGGTGTGCGAAGGCTTGCCAAGTGACGTCATTAGTTTCAATGATGTCATTGATCGTGATTTCGTTTCCAGTCTAACTAATCTTACAGCAATGTTCTCTTGCTATGATGACGAAAGCGGTATCAAGTTAATGCAAGCTGGGGCAGGAACCTACCCAGGTGGAGAAGACGTCCACCCATTTGTTGACATAACCAACTTACCAATGAGAGTATCAGACGATCTTAAAATCACGTGGGTTTCATTCAATAATATCAGTATAACAAAACTAAGCAGGTATCACGTCACAGTTATAGTTCAAAATATGGCAGGATACAGAAAAACGGTTTCTTCTGATGGTATACTCGTGGATACAACGGAACCCACCGTTCTACCGTCGTACATCCGAGATGGCCTTCAAGGTATAGATAAAAAGTATAGCAAGAGACTTGACGTATTTACAGCACATTGGGAAAATGCTTTCACCGACACAGAAACTGGAATTGGAGAGTATTTTGTTGGATTAGGATCGAGTCCTGGACAAGATGACAAATCGACGTTTAAGAGTAACAATTTAAGCACACAAGCTTCACTAAGCAGCGATCACTTGGAAAGTGGAAAGACATATTATGTTACAGTAATCGCATGCAACAGAGTCGGTATGTGTGTGAATGGTAGTAGCAATGGAGCAATGGTTGATTTTAAACCACCACATACGGGTGTAGTTACAGCAGGTCAGGAAGGACCACCACTGCAAATAACATGGATTAACAAAGCAGCTTGGGCACGATGGCAGTGGTGCCCTGCAGATAAGAGTGAACTTCGTGCTTCCTCAAATACTTGCGAACCATCCAGTTTTTATGATGAACATTCTGGGATAAGACGCTTCGGATTGACCGTGCTTTCTTATGATACAGCAAAAACGATAACACCAGTTAAGATCGTGGGTCGTGTAGTAACTAGTGGACTTCATGTAGTAATGCCAAACGGTGTGTTCTCTGTACTTGTCCAGGCCGAAGATCGTGCTGGCGGTAGTTCTAATGGGATTTCAAATCCTTTTATCATTGACACTACCCCTCCCAAGATTGCAAAACTTTATCATGGCATGGAAAATGGACAAATTTCGTATACACAGATTGAAGATTATGTATTCACTGCATTCTTTGAAATAACCGAAGATATTTCTGAGATTATTTCCTACAGCGTTGGTGTTTCTACGTTCCCCGAGGGAGATGACATTATACCCTTCGTGGAGTATAAGCTCAGCGTCACGGCCAACATCATTCATGTTAATTGGACATCTGTGAATTCTAATATTTTAATAAACGGTCGGAAGTATTACATAACAGTGAAGTGTACAAACGCTGCAAAATTATTTCTAATCGCTTCATCACCACCTCTAATTTTTGACAACGAGCCTCCATTGGTATCCCACGTGTTCGATGGGTGGGAATCACAAGATTCCCAATATCATCCATTCTCAAGTATTTACCGAATGCATTGGCAGCGAGTCGCTGATATTACTGGAATCCAGGAAATTTCCGTGTGCTTAAGCTCCACAAAGAATGAAAAGAAATGTAACCTACATCCGAAGATACAAATCTCCACTAAAGCAATATCTCACACATTCACAAATATATCCCTTCAATCAGGTTCATATTGCTACGCTTACCTCGAAATAAAGGACAACGCTGGTAACCAAGGGAAATTCTGGAGCAACGGAGCATTAGTTGACACTACTCCACCTAATAAAGGACGTGTAATTGATGGACAGGGAGGAAGTGACCAAGTCTACCAGCGAGAAACTAACATCCTTTATGCAAGTTGGTCAGGATTTTCCGAAAACGAGACCAGAATTCATCACTACGAGTTAGCCTTTGGCACCAGCCCAAATGATTCCAACGTTCAACCGTTTACAAATGTTGGTTTAGTCACTTCAGCATCCAGCTCAAACCTTCTAGTCTCCGAACTAAAGAGTGGTGTTGTCTACTATGCACAAATTATCGCCTACAATACATTGGGAATTCGCAGCGAAATCGCAATTTCCAATGGGGTTTTGGTCGATACAACACCACCAGTATTTCCATCAGCAGTTTCCGACGGAAAAGCCTTCCAATTTGACATTGATTATTCGAGTAATTCAACATCGTTGTCAATAAACTGGAAATGTTACGACAAAGAAAGTGGTTTAAGAAAAGTTCTTGTAGGGCTTGGAACCCAACCTGGTATTCAAGATCTTGTTGTTGACCGCTCTGTGTTGCCGTACCAAAGCATATACAATTTTGAAGGATTAAATCTGACTCAAGGACTCAGGTATTTTTCAACAGTGAAGTGCATAAACAATGTAGGATTACAAAGTTCAGCGGCAAGTGATGGCATAACTATCGATTCTACACCACCATTGTTAAAGTACGTGTACATTGGTCGAAGCCGTTACCATGGTACCACGCATATTGGACAAGGTTCTGCAATAATAGCCAACTGGAAATTTAATGACTTTGAAAGTACTGTGACTAGATACATAGTTTCAATCAACCATCTGGTGAACAGCACGAGAATTCTTGGTCCATGGCTTTTTAACGGAAATAAAACTTCTGAAAATGTCCACATCACAAAGAATGACTTAGAACACAACGAGCGTTACGTTATTTCGGTCATAGCCTTTAACGGCGCGGGTCATTTTACAACTGGCATCAGCAACGGTTTTATTGTCGATGGAACACCGCCTACTTGCACAAATATATACGATGTTACCCTCGATGGGGCAAGAACCAGTTTTAGTGGCCTGACCTCAAAGCTAGCAATATATTACAACTGTAATGATTCCGAAACAGGTATTATTAAGTACCAGTTTGCTATAAAAGACCTTAACACATCCATGTACATTTTCCCTTTTCAAAGCATGAAAAAAAAATCAGCACCCCTTGCTGTCGTTGACGGTTTTGGAAAACAAATTGTTAAACTTCAACATGGGGACAAGTACCAAGTTGGTCTTCGGATCACCAATAACGTAAACCTTACCAGCGAATACTGGACTGCGGGTGTAACAGTTGACACAACTGGTCCTATATTCCGTAGAGTTACACCATCGTACAGCGTTTACAACGATGCAATTCAAGTACTCTGGCAGTTACTCGATAATGAAAGCGGTATTAGAATTTTGTATTGGTCATTGCATACATCGCCGGATCCTAAATATCTTGAGAATTTCACTGAAATATCTTCAAATGCCACACAACTCCTGATTTCTGACAGTTCTCTGAAGCTTGGTGTGACATACTATGTTCATTTTAAAGCTATCAACACTGCTGGTTTATCAACTTTGTTTGTATCAAATGGTGTCATCGTTGATCGAACTCCACCAACAGCTGGCCGTGTGTCAGCCGACTTCGCAGTGCCCAAGAACTACGATGGCAATCCAAATATGACTGACGGTGCAACATTTACAGTCAGATGGACAGGATTCATTGATCCAGAAAGTGGCATCAAGTCATACGCGTGGGCGATTGGGCTGGTTAAAGAAGAAATAATTGCACTTGGTAATGCATTCTTCATCGACATCCAGTTTACGGGCTCTGTAAACGGCTATATCATTAAAGACCAGACCATACATACTGATAAAATATACCACGTATGTATAAGAGTTCTTAATGGAGCTGGACTGACCACAACGAATTGTTCAGATGAAATACGAGTAAAGCTCGGTAAGTTAACAGCAGGCGTTGTATATGACGGACCTTTGACTGAAGATATTGATTTTCAACTTGACGATAAAGCATTGTGGCTTCATTGGGCTGGATTTGAAGACCCAGTTTATGGTCTGAAAAGGTATGCCTGGTGTTATGGAAAATTTGCAAAAACGGAAAACGACACGTTCAATTGTTTGGATTCGATATCACCTGTTGATCCACCACTTCAAATTTCCGCGCACAAATTTTATAATATTTCTTTACAACATGGACAACGTTATCTCGTCAAAGTTGAAGCGGCAAACCAAAGAGACGAAATCGTATCCTCTACCTCAGATGGTTTTAGAGTTGATCGTACAGCACCGAATCCGGGAATATTGAAAATAGGTGGTTCGCAAGGTGGCAGAACTATATATATAACTGGAATTTCTGCACCAATTGTTTCATGGTCTATGTACGAAAGTGAAAGTGCGCTGCAAGAATTTCATTTCGGTATTGGCACCTTTCCAAATAATGATGACATTTTCCCCTTCGCCAAACTTGATGATAGTACACATTCTTTGAATCTTGATGAGATAAACTTTAACCTCACTCACGGGCTTGCTTTCTATATCACTGTACTCGGAATAAATGTTTTGGGACTGAAGTCGACAATAATTTCGCCTCAAATAATCGTTGACTGGCTGCCACCAACGCCCAACATTATCCGAGACGGGAATAAAACTAGTGACATCGATTTCCAGTTTGACATAGAACACATATCAGCTAGCTGGGAAAAATTTCTTGACGCAGAGAGTGACATTGTGGAATATTTGTACTGTGTCGAAACTAGACCAGGTAAAACTACAATAAAGACTAGTTCGAGTAGCTTTCACCAATCCTAACAGTGTGCATAATAAGTCTGTGGTAACTCAAAAAATAACAGAAGCTGCTCTTCAAATTTTTCATTGTTCAATATTAGATAATAATTTTATATAGTGAATATGCGGAGCCTATAGGTTAAGTAAATTACGCGCTGAACTAGGATCGCATACTGAACTGCAGCTGTACGCAAACTAACTTATAAAAAAGAGACTAATTCAATCTTTATCGCTTTTCAGATGCTTGTAATGTCCAAAATCAAACTTCGGTAGGCTTAGAACGTCGAGCAGAGGTAGGAGCAAAGCTTGAACATGGTCAAACGTATTTTGTAACCGTGGCTGCTGTCAACAGTGCTGGGTTATCAACAACTTCTTCGTCCAACGGAGTAACAATAGATACCTCTCCTCCTATCATACAAGGTTTCTCCATACTGTCTGTTGCTAACTTAGATCAAAACACAACAAAAGAAAACATCACTGCTGTTTCAACAAGCCAGTGCAAGATACAAGCCAGCTGGGACAGCATTACTGACAGCGTGAGTGAGATCAAACGCGCGTCAGTTTGTGCAACCACGATAGAGGAAGACTGCAATTTGTTAACGTGGCAGGATCTTAACCCTTATTCTTTAGCTGTCAGTATACATTTTCAGAAGCCATTGCAATCTGGAACTATCCTTATACTAAAACTTAAGGGTGAGAACGGCGCAGGTTTAAAAACAGTCGTAAATTCGCATAGAATTCTCATAGACACCACTCCTCCCCGAAAAGGTTTTGTCAAAATTGGTGGTAAAGAAGATCTAGTTTGGTTAAAGGAAGGCCAACCACTCATTGCTTCTTGGCAAGGCTTTACAGATACTGAAAGCGGAATTAAGGAATACAAATGGAAAATCTGCTTAGCAAGTCAAATTTCCAATTGTGTAACTACATTTGTAAATGTTGGTTTGAAACGTAACGTTGTTTTAAGCGATATAGGCCTCGCCCACAGTGCAGAATATAGGTTTGTGGTCAAGGCTGTAAATTTTGCGGGAATTGATACTAATTCTGTTTCGAATTCGTTTATTCTTGATAAAACGTCGCCAGAAGTAGGTATGGTATTTCATGGACATAAATCCTTTGAAGACAAATATTACCAAAGTTCATCCAAAGAAGTTTCTACCAGTTGGACAAGTTTTTCAGACAAAGAAAGTGGAATCTCCAGCTATGAGGTTTGCATCGGTTCAATCCCTGGCCTTTGTGATGTATCCGAGTTTAGAAACGTTGGTTTAGCTACCAGTGCTATCACAGGCAACTTGCATCTTCATCACAATGCCACATACTACACAACCGTACGTGCAACAAATGGAGCTGGACAGACCAGTTTTGCGTCGTCAAGTGAGATAATTATAGACCTCACATCACCAATTGGTAATATGCTTCGGGACGGCGAGGATTCAGATGAAGACATCTCCCACCATGACTCGTTCATCAGCATCAACTGGGATGAAGCGCACGATTCAGAATCTGGCATTTCAAAATATGTCGTTTGCGCAGGAACTGTGATTGGAGCGTGTGATTTAGTTTCCCCAACCACAGTGAGCAACAGCTTTGCAGCCAAATTGAATGTCGACCCAGCAATTAGTTCTGGAACTGTAGTGTATTCAACACTTTGGGCATATAACAACGCTGGTACATCAACAGAAATATATTCTGATGGAGTCTTGGTTGATAGTACACCACCTGAAACAGGCAAGGTAAATATTAATGAGTGGGCGGGGTATATGTTCTGGATTACCTAAAATATGTGCAAGGTTAATTACTGCTGAACTGAATGTTTTAATTAATGTCTTGATCAATGACTTACAGTTTTCTCCATGAAAGAACAACATGTTAACTGAATGGTAAGAGTATTAAAACGTATGAAATATATTTCCAGGTTGAGATAACATCATTGAGCACGCCACAAGGAAAAGCAAGATATCTCACAAGCAAGGAATCTCTGTGTGCAACCTGGAATACCTTCAACGACACTGAAACTGCTATTGTTTCTTACCATTTCTCCTTGTGTTCGAAAATGAATGAGAAAAGTTGTCCTATTTCGCGACGGAATCTAAACAACAAAACTTCCATATGTATAGAAGAACCAGCAGTTACAGAGGGGGTAGAATATTTTGTTGAGATTACAGCAACCAACGAAGTCGGACTTAGTTCTACTTCAAAGTCCATACATTTCGTTGTCGATACAAGCGAGCCAGATGTTGGTCAGGTTTTTGCGTCCAATCCATTAGGGGGGAAATACGATTTTATCTCATCGGTTGTATTCGCAAGTTGGAATGGGTTTTTGGATAAAGAGAGTGGAATATCAGAATATCTCATTTGTATTGGAAAAGAGCCCGGCGTGTGTAACTTAGCAGATTCAGTTTCTGTCGGCAAAACATCACAGTATTTTTGGTACAATTTAAGTTTGGTATCTACAGAAGAATATTTTGTTTCTATAAGGAGTGTAAACAACGCTGGGCTTTTCACAGATTATATCGCCTCAGATCCATTCACGGTGGACACAACAGGTATTGTGTAGAACCGAAAAAAAATATGTAAATAAAGAAATGAATGATGCAATACTCTAACGTTTGGTCTTTTTTAGCTCCGTTACCAGGCGCCGTTTTTGACGGATCTGAAAGTGGGAAGATGTTGTCTACCAACAGAATCCTGACCAAGTATCTGCCTGTTGGTTCAAAGTTGAAGACCCGCAAAGTGATATCACAGCGCTAAGTTGGTGTATCGGTTCGGCGCCAGGGTCATGCGATCAAATGCCAAACACACAAATAGATATAAATGCCACAAAAATGTCTGCATTTCTCCAAGAACCTGCTGAAAACGGAAAACGATTCTACGTCACGCTGACCGCTGTGAATGGCGCTGGTTTAAATACTACAATGATGTCGGATGGTGTTACAATTGATTACACACCACCAGTTGCAGGAAAAGTTGTTGTTGGTGAAGACAGCGAGGTGGATTACATAACAAATGGTGATACAATATATGCTCACTTTTTAGGATTTGCGGACACAGTAAGCGGTATAAAATCATACCAGTTCGCGTTATGCGAGAAGAGTAATATATCATCCTGTCCAATGGAGTTTACTAACATTGGTCTACAAACTAATATCACGTTATCAGGTTTGTAAATCTCTGCGTCTTTTGACCAAATTATTCTTGCACAATAAATACCTTACTGTATATGGTCTACCACTGCGATTCGACAAAGTATCGCATACAATACGGTCAGATTTCTTCCTAGTTTTGCCTCTGTGCTGTGCTCTTCAACGTCAACAATTAGTAACTAACTTCCTTTCTCGACTAACTCTCAGGTCTCGAACTGGAAAATGGCAAGGGATATGTTATAATTGTCCGCGCTTCAGATTTTGTTGGCTTGACTGTAGACGAAACATCAAATGAATTCATCGTAGATGAGACTTCTCCAGTTTTGGGGTGGATTTCGGTTGTCAGTCCATCACCAACTAACTTTGACATGACAAAAATAACATCAAAGTATGTCGACAAATTTATTACAGATAATTCAATCAATAATACTAGAAACAAAAATATTAGGATATCTTGAATCTTAAATTTTTCTTCTCCAGATGGGGAAGCTTTTATGATCCAGAGTCAGAAGTGGTCCACTATGAAATCTGTCTTGGTAAAGCACAAGGAGAATGCGACGAAATTAACTACCTGTCAGTCGCGTTGAACACAACGTACACATTTAATGGCCTAGAATTGCGTCATGAAGAAGAATATTACGTCACGATCAAGGCTATTAATGTCGTTGGGTTTTCAACACAATCAACATCCAACGGTATTAAGATTGACTTGACTCCACCCGAGCCAGTCAAGCATATGAGTGGTAGTTCCTCTGATTCTGGTGGAGTTTGTAATTCACTGTTCGATAACTGCGATGAAAAAATACCAGGTGAGTAAGCACAATTAACTTATCTAATTTCTCCAGTAAATATTCTCTTCTTCACCAGGGTTCCATCTATAAGTCGTGCACAAGTCTGTTGTATACACTGTCCATCTCCGTCTATATACCTCTTGCATTGCATCGGTTCACTAAGAATCAATGCGTATTTAGCTTGCCATTTTCTTTTCATAAGACTCGGAAGAGAGAAAAGTTGAGGTGTCATGCGAGATGATGTATTAAAAGCCACATGGCAAGAACACGAAGATAAGGAGTCTGGAATAGCCTTAACTGAATGGTGCATTGAAACCGTCAATAATACTTGTAATGTTCAGAGCTGGGACACTGTCGCGCCGAACACGTTAACAGTTTCTGCTATAATCCACTCTCCGCTCACCATCACCCAGGTTCGAGCTGTCGTGCGCATAACCAATGGAGTGGGTAACTACGTGCTACTCAAATCCCCCCAATGTAACCCTGAACAAACTTTCCCACCTCTAATCAATGTTTCAGTTATCCACGAACTAAATGACACAACGCCTGTCTCAGTTTATCAAACCAACAGAGACGTGATTATTGTCACCTGGTCACTACCAGAAAACAAGTCTTGGTATTCGCGTGTTCAGGCTGCTCTGGCAATATATGATCAAAATTCCATCAAAACAACGCTGGATACATGGCACGGAGAAACCCTAGTATTTGATTTCGTGGATATCTTCGGTGAAAAATCATACATCATATTTAGTGGCAGTAGATTGCAACCATATATCAAGTATCGCCCAATAGTAAGACTCTGCAATACATTCGACCTTTGTTCCGATTCCACCGGTGATCCAGTGATTATAATTCCCGACGCACCTCCCGATTTACAGATTAACGCGACTGACACAATAGAAGGCACAGAGCAAAATCGTTGGCAAAAATATGTTGGAATCCCGCCAATGACGCGCGAAATCTTCGAAGAAACCTTATTTTTGTCCGATCCACTGAGTGTACTGATTAATGCTAACCTCAGACACACGAATGAAACCACACTTTTTAGCAAACATGTGCCCATAACATACAACGCAAGCATTCATAGAGTCACCTCTGGTGCAAACGAAACTAGAAATGTAACTATTGATAGTCGAGAGATATTTAATAACTCTCATCTTTATAACGATGTGAACGTTTGCTGTTCAAAAAGGAACAAGGAATCGAGATTTGTTAATTCAGACCGCCAGTTTAAACCGATAGCGGAAACGAATCTATTCGGCATCACAGTTAGTGCTGTGGGCAAGCGTTCTGTAGTGGCATCCTCCAAAGATACAGTGTATATGTTTTCGACGGAGTCATTATATGTCACACCCATCCGAAATGTAGTGGTTAACACGAGCAGCAACCATAGTTACGTAAAAGTGAAAGCAAAAAATAATACAGTTCTGGTTTCTGTTTCTGGGTCGTTACTGTTATACAAGCAAAGCGATACCAACTTAACATCATCAAGCCAATTTCTCTACATAACAAACTGCAATCATACAAGAACTGATGAGCCTGAGCATTGTTCGGATGATAACCAGTGGTCTTCAGTAGGAAGCGTGGGGCAGGTATTCGATTACGACGGTAAGGATATAATTGCTGTCAGCGGTATAGATCATGAAGGTTTCAGCGTCATTGCCATTTTCAAAAATGACAATAACACGTGGAGATTAAACCAGGTACTCGGACATGAAGGAAACAATGTTCCATACAGCATAGCAATCAACGAGCAGTTCATGGTTATAGCAGGCAGTAAAGTTCGCGTGTACACAAAGGGATTAGACTCTTTCTGGCAATTAGAAAACACACTTCCGATCTCTCCGCAAAATGTTGTAAGCGCAAAAACTGTCTACCTAACGAAAAGAAACGAACTATTTATACTGACGAAACGAGCAACGACATTTAAGGTTTTTGAGCTTGGAGCTCCATCAGCAAAAGCCACAAAGAAGTGCAAATATGTATTCCCAAAAAATATTAAGCTGAGCGGCGCTTTGGATGTTTTAGAAGACAGTATTCTTATTGCCGCAATTGGAATAAAATCAAATGGCCGTGATGGTGCAGAACTGATATCTTATGACAGCGAGGATGGTTGCGTAAGAATAGGTGGGGTACTTTCTAAGTCAGGGTCACCTTTTGATAACAGTGATGCAATTGCATCCGTAGCCATTACAGAGAAATACCTTATCATTGGAACGCCTGGAAAACTTACATGGCCAACTAAATACGTGAATGTGGGGACAGGAGGACTGTACGTTACGACGTTTTGTAAGCGGAATCACATACGCAAGAAGGTATTGGGAGACAATCAAAAAGAACACGTCATATGTGTACCATGCAGATTGAACGAAAAGGCGTACCCTGGATTTGAAGACCAGTGTACTGATTGTACCAACAGCATATGTTTACACAATTCCACTGATGCGAGATTCAAGGTTTCGCATTGTGACACTTATCCCTGTACCGTGTCGAAAAACCGAACCATTGGACAAAATATTTCAAGGGATAATCTGACTGTTACTGAATGGACACAAAACTATGAAGGTGAAGAGTTTTACCTGCCAGGATCCTCACAGAGTTATTTCATCAGACTCACACAACGTTTAGCAACAGGAACCACAACCACCTCTGACAGCTTTCCATTTTCTATTGATTACACTTCACCCGAGGCTGGCTCGGTCTTCGATGGGTTAGGTAGCGATGAGTCTCGGAACTGTTCCACAAATACCACTTTCAGTTCTGAACATCAATGCACAAGCAGGAGTTTCTCAGAAACAGACTTGGACTACACGTATAACACCACTGAAATCAGCGCTCGGTGGCTTGATTTTCGTGACGACGAAAGCAACATCGCCCATTACTTCTGGTGCATAGGTTCCACTCCTCTCAATGATGACATAATGTCGTGTGAAAATGCAACAAACTCCCTTAATCGGAGTCTGACAGGGTTGTCTTTACAACATAACGATAAGTATTACGTAACTGTATTAGTGTGCAACTATGCTGGATTATGCACAGCCAAATCAAGCGATGGGGTCTTGGTTGATACGACTCCTCCAATAATACATTACGTCAGAGATGGCCTGGTTGGACCAGATATCGACTTCCAAGTGAGTCTAAATTTAAATGTTATTCTTTAAATTAATTTATTGTTTCAAATAGCAGTTATAACCATCGATCAATGATATTAACCCAAAAAAAAGATCATACCGAATATTTTATACTAATAATCCGGTTTGTATTAACGTTGGTTTGAAAATCTATTATCGTCATTTGCGACACGCGGCGATGGCAAGCGTGACGTGTGATTTCTGTAGACAAATAGCTTTCTTTACAGAAAGGTTTGGGAAAGCCTTCATCTAGCTACGAATTCAGGTAAATAACACTTTTTAAGCCCAAACTCATTGGACAACTGGTAAATATTGTAAAAAGGGCGGAAAAGATTAACAGCTCTTTAGCATGCTATTTGAGCATGCCTTGAGCGTCTATGTATGTCTTTAGGTATTTACGAATGTTATCTTTGGTAACTGGGAGGCAGAAGACCCAGAAAGCGGCGTGGTGTCATATGAGATAGGTTGGGGATCCGAACCAGGCCAAGATGATGTCTGGGAATTCCAAGAAATTGGAAACGCTTCGAGATGGTACGCGAAATTCGGCAGCGGTGATCTGGAGATTGGCGGCAAATTTTATGTGACAGTTAGAGCAATTAACGCAGCTGGTCTTGAGTCAGAACCAATGACATCCAACGGGATAACAGTCGGAAAAACAGAATTTGTATTTTCGAAAAATGATTCTGGTTCATTCTTTTTCGATACGGTAAATATAGATGCAAACGAGACTAAGGAAGAGGAAGAGGTCGGACATACATTTGGGACCGTGGATGTTCCAGCAGGAGCGGTTGAGGACAACGTTAAGTTTCAGATGTACAGTCTGGGAGAAAAAGAATTGAAGAATGGCACTGATGATAGTACAAACGTTGTCGACCCTGAAGTTGTTAAGCCACCCAAGGTACGAGCGTTCATTTCAAACAGATTTTGCGCGGATCCCGCGGTCATATTTTAGCCAATCAGCAGCACACAGAAGGGTTGTTGAAATCCATTCCACAGTATTTAATCGACTACATCTTTTGTTATTCTTTATGAAACTGGTCGAAATTTTGTGATTATGGTTAGTTATAAGAACTATAGCTATTTTTTACCCAAATAACGTATATTTCAAAAGATATTAAGTTGTTTAAATTATTTTCGTTTCGAATTACTTTCGTTTATTCGGTGATTAAAAAATTTGAATAATGTCAATCTAATACAAACCTGTATAAAGAAATTCAGACTTGAACTACAGTAATATTGCAAACTATTGTTTACTTTTGCTTTGTAGCATTTCAAACTTGGTGACTACAGTTTCCAGATTAAAGCTTACGAACCAGAAAACAACACGTTGCAGTCTAATTATCGTTTCAAGAAACCAATAACAATTACTTTGGTATACGACGTCGAACAAATGTTGAAAATTAACAAAAAGGTGGTTAGTGACGACGTGACAAAAGATGACATTGATCCTGTGCTTTTACTTTGGGATACCAAGAATCAAACATGGTATTTCTTTATATATTCTAATTTATATCATTGATAGCATTAGAGCCATAAACTTGCAAACGCGGCTAAAAACGCCATGCCATATTCTGCGTGCACCCCACGGCAGCAAACACGGTTGCAGTCAAAAGAGTTTAAAAAGTGAAACATCCCAACCATTACGTGAACTAGGGTCAGCATGAGTTGCGAATTGTTCACGGGAATGTATGTCTAATCCTACCTCTTGTTTTGCATCTCCAATGGATCACATGCTACCAGTGCGTCTGCATGCGCGTAGTCTCTCCAAGGTATGTTAAAATATCACTAACTTCTGCACGACTCGTTAAGCGGGAAGGCCCTTTAATTTAAGAGTTCGATGAGGGCTTGATCAACTCTTTGAAACAACATTCTTCTACCATTGATCCAGAAAAAGGTGGCCTCTTCGACTTTTGACTCTTTCATGTTTAAAGGTCTGGTATATGGTGGACAATATACTGGCTCATAACATGTTTCAACTTTATGACAAGCTTTATTCATGATTTTGACAGCTAGTTGCTCATGCCTCATCCCTAAGTGACTTACCAGGTTAAAGCCAACCAAGTGCATAAACACAAATTGAGGATTGTATAGAATCTTGGATGTCTTATCCGCTTATCTAGCCTATGCTATGATGTACGGATATGTGGTGTGCAGATGAAAAGGCTCAAAAGAGAGTTGAGAGTCATCTGGGCACACCTAAAAGCATTAACAGAGAGATTTTACCTTTGACCTTGAATTCCTCACTGTTGAGCAAACTCTGTTTTAATTAGTTGTTTTTTCACTGAGGTTGGAAAACTGTGGCCAAATTACTTGCTGTGCCTCTGAATTGACAGTGGTGATAACCCTTATGCAAAACTAAACCATTCCCCTAACTTCTTTCATACTTTTGTACAGTAGTGTAGCAAGCCTGTCAATTTGTCCTGCTATGCTAATATTTTCGTGTTCACTGACTGTGAAAACAATAGATTTCTAAAGACATGAATAATTATAATAACTCGAAATTTACATAGCGGGACAAAATCGTCAGGCTGGCTACGCCACTACTTTTTTATGCTAACTTATGGGCTGTTTACATGACCCAGAGGTGTGGCTAGGTTGAGTGAGGCTGGATGGCCAAGTCCCCCTGGTGAAATTTTGTGCAACATTGTTATGCAGTCAAAAATGCAAAACATCTGTGTGTGATCTTGCCCATCAATATTGTCCAGCTTTAATGCCACAAAAACCTGCCAAGATTTAACAAAGCGTGGAATGACTGTGAGCTATTGAAATATTTAATATTTCGCAGTGGTGTGGTCATCCTAAGCTCCTAACAATAGCATGCAGTGGTTTGGTTTCATAAATAACTTTTTAACACTATATGTATCCAGTGTTTATAATGTTCACAAACCTTATGTTAAGATCTTCGTATAATATAAATGGCTGACTTGGGGACTTTCCTCTTCAATGATAAGAGACCAAAATTTCTGAATCATTTCGGTCGCTTCCAGTGGCATTTCGACGTTGTTTAACCTGGCTAACAAATTGGCAGCTAATATAGTCGGCGGCTTGACTATTAGGCTTAAGACAACACTTTATTTGCGATGTTTTATTAAAAATATTAAAATACAACAATACAACAGCGGCCAAATATTTACGATTTTCCCGCCAAAACGGTTACGTGTTTGTCTCGCGTGGTGTCCTGCGCGGAAAATAACAATAGTTCAAAACAAGAGCGTTTCATAGTGCAGCTGGATCAAGTCGAACTCCCAGTCCTAAGGCAAATAGGTCAACCAGAAAACTGTGATTGTGTTCGGTGTTACTTGTATTACTTAAGTCCCATGAGCCAACCTTACTTAACAGGGGCGGCGGAACAGGGGGGGCTAGGGGGGCTTTAGCCCCCCCAGAAATAAAAGTGGGGGGGCTTAGCCCCCCCCAAAAATTTCATGAAGAATGTCAGAATGGGAGAGCAAATATACAAACTACGTTAACATGAAGTCGTCAAATTCATGCTCGCCGGCGTATTAAATGCTAATAAAAATTTGATATCCTATATTATTATTATTCATAGTTGTCTTTAACCGCAGAATATTCGTGGTTGTATATTGTTATTATTTTCGGACCGCCATTTTGTTCGGAAATTATTTTGAGAATCTGAGAGATGTAGAAGATATCACTACACGCGCTGTGCCGTTTTCAGTTTGTGTTTGCCCATGAAAAACCACGATGAAAGCGGCAAGTAAGACTCTGAAATGGCCATTTCCGAAGATCTAGAGCATTGAAATTCAAAAAAAATTTCGCTCGGCGCCAACCATGGTGGCGCCTCGTGAAATTAGCCCCCCCAAAATATATTATGTTCCGCCGCCCCTGTTACTTAACAGTTAAAACAAACATGTCTCACATTCCACATGGTATTTTCGTTTAGCGATTTTACATTCTTAATTTTGACCACTAATACGTTTTTATTTCTTATCTCAACAGGTTTGATGCAGCAAAAACATGCCCAGAACCATGGACACACGTTGATAAGCAAGCAAAACTTATTAAAGTTAAAGTTTGTCATTTGACCCAGTTCGCGCTGTTTTGGACCTTTGAAGCTGAAAACGGACTATTTGAATTCCACAAGGAAACTAATGGTATGGGTCAGTGCGTATAAATTTTCTTTATTTACAATCATAATTATTAGAATACGTTTTATGCCGAAAATTATGACTCCAATAGCATAATCTCCTATAAAAATTCGGTTATATACTGAGTTCTTCTGAGGCAAGAATTTCAGTATGGTGGCAATTTTATGAGGCAGAGATTCTACAATTCAATTTTTTTAGGCACCACATCCAAGCCCCCTCCTCATGGTCTTGTCGGAGAAGATAATAATGTGATCTATAACCCAGAGAGATACGGCGACAAAATGTTCTTTGATGTGGTTAGATACAAAGGTTCTACTGGTGAAATAAATCTCACGTGGGCTGTCACCATCCAACCAGGCACCCCTCCTTCATTTGCTGTCACTCCGAAGTCAGGCAAACTACGATTTCACGAGGGCCAATGGAATTCCTCCATTCAACTGCGCTTTCCTTTCATACCTGATACAGAGAAAAAAATAGCGATTTTTGTTAAATTGATCGATGTATCTGGTGGTGCAATGCTTGGAAATTTCACTACTGTGAAGATAATATTTCCACAGAATGTCAGCGACGATGAAGTGACCACTCCCATCAAAAACAATAACAATGAGTCTAATATTATTTTGGAAGTCCTTTTGCCAAGCCTGGGTGGTGCTTTGCTAATAATCCTTGGTATAATGGTTGCAATTATTTTCTCGCGCCGAGCGCGGATTAGGTAAGAAAGTTCGTTAAGCAACATGGCCTGAAGAACTAGCTAGAGTCTTATATTAACGTTCGTCCACTATGCTAACGGCACACGTATTCCTAAAATCATATATATCGACTATACTATTCTAAAATAAAAATATTTTATCTATAGGAAAGAGCGGGTGATAAGGTCTTCTACACATAGGGATAACCCAACCTATGGCTTCTCGTAAGTAGATCTACCACATCCTTACAGCATAAATTAATAATTGTGTTGTTGAGGTTGTGTTAATCATAACAAAATAAGGGTTTATTAAATTACTAACATGCAGTAAAAATTAAAACTTATTTCCTATTTTATAGGCAAACTGATCAAACACACAGTGGTTTGCAACAGTCAGAGACTTCATTCACCGACAAAGATCCACCATATTAATCGCAGGAATTAGAGGGAATTAGCAGTATGTCATGTCAAGTTGTAGTAACACAAACTAAGGAACTAACAAAAAAACAATTAATCAACGTAATATTTTAAGTGGGTAAAATTTTCAGTTGTTTTCCGGTGACTTGTTTTACCAAATCGTTTTGTTAAAAATGAGTAGCCTTGGTACGTACCATACAGCCGGGATCGTGCTGTGGTACGTCGTCTATAGTTGTTTGACGTACTAAATTTATCTATATATATAATTGTTTAACGTACGAATAACCATGATAATAACCATGATAATAACCAATATGCATATGTGCATCATTAACCATAATTATTATAAACACTGTTACTTGTGTATATATAACAATAATAAAGAATCACTTTCCATACAAAAAATATTCTTTCAAGTTAGTAATTCATTCGCATGCCCCTGAAATATCTGCGTGTGCCCAAACACCGAGGGCGGGCCGGTGCATGGGGGGTTGATACCACCAATAATTGAATACACCGTAAATGAATGCGTGTGCACTATAAACATGCACGTCTGAGAGTGACGAAGTTGAAAGCCCGTCTTTATAGCCTAATTTGCGAGGTTTTACGATCACGTACATATATATTTCGAAGAAGCGATTCTTGTCTTTTTTAAACATGCAAAAACATTCTACAGAAGATTTTTGATAACCAATCATGCAGCTGAACGACGGGAAGGCTACAATCGAGGCCCAGTGGCGTATCTATAGGGTTAGCATCAAATGTGGTATAACAACTGCTTAATTTTAAAATAGAAAAAACACCTCTCGACGTTTCGACCTGAGGGGCCGAGGGCTTTCGTCAGGTGTTCGAAACATCTCAGCTGCGAAAGAAATTACGCTATTTTATGATCCTTGTCTTGTCATGCACTGATCTCTTGGCGTGTATTTTTGTCCATCCGTCGACGATTTACCTCTGCGTCCTCTGGGCATATCACATATGGAGACTCCCCCTTTTTATTTGATAACTATGAAATATTTGCCGATATTGCAAAGACACTTTTCGGTTTTACGTTGCCTAGCTGTCCTCCTCATAATGACTTTGGAAAGATTAATAGGTTTAGTATATCCTTTTATCCACAAAACATCAATCACTAAGCGTAGACTTGTATATTTTTTTGTGGTCACCGAAATTTTGGGAATTATCTTGAAAATAATATCTTTTACCCTTAAAATACATTTTTTGGACGCTATTCTCACAAGCTTATTACTTATCCTCCTTTTTCTTATGAACCTCAAAATGTTTATCATCGCAAAGACAAAAAGCAAGATATCTTTACAAAAACGTGGTGGTGGAACACGTGAATTTAAGAAATTTCATACATGTCTTTTAGCCGTTGGAAGTTTTTTATTATGTGGCCCTCCTGCATTGGTTCACAATATAATACAAAGTCGTCTTATTTAATTTATATGCTATATAAACAAACTAGGCATAAAGGCTATCGCATTATTGCTATGTCAAAATATCAGAAATTAATGGGACGGCGTACAAAAACACAATTTTTACAGCTTAATATTTATGGCGACAGGCTCCGCTTTGTCCTTTCAACCTCCCTTCCCCCCATTCAATATTGATCTCCAATGTTGCTGCGCTCTTGTAAAGGTACACAGCTATTCTGTGTGAAATAAAGCCAAACATTGAATGGGGAAATGAGGGGGAGGGGCATTTTTTGCAAATGACCCACAGATTTTAGCTGCAAGATTGTACGGGGGCGAAGAAATGTTGAAGTTGAATATTTGATAAACACCTTTTAATTTGAAGCTAATCAATAGAAAAAAAGATTTCATCGCGCAGGAGGTCGATTTTGACAACACTTTTTTTATTTCTCCTTTCCCTTACCTAGTCTCAGTTCAATTTTCAATTCCTAAATCCTACAATCATTTGCGTTAACGTATTGGACAGGCGGTCCCTTATCTCTAAAGTAACCGTGCGATTGTTCGTGCGTATTATTTCCCCTGTTAATAATGCTAAATTTACTGAATTTAAAATAAATATACAAATAATATAATATGTACAATACACCAAAATTTTACAGACGAACACGACATTTAACACCGTTTTACGACGACCAAATGTTGGAAATTTTAAAAAAGAAAATAAGAAAAAATTACTCCCGGTCCATTTGTATTATGATTCGCCAAAGTACTTTTGACGCACCCAGGCATTCCTCTGCTTACTTGCTTCTCGTCTTTCTTGAGCTCCATCAGGCTTTATTCTGGGTGGGAGGTGATCACTAAATACTCTTAAACTGAATATGATAAAAAAGTTGGTCAGTTTATTTGAAAATAAGATCACCGATCAGCAAGGCAGCTGACAGTCGCAAAGAGATGCTGTAAGAACGAGGTTGTGTGTGATATTGTTATAAAAGCATTTATACAATAGAGGTAATTCTAACAGGAATTTTATACCTTTCTTTGACTTTTTCTTTAGTTGAAAATTGAACGTCACCATTGTCAGTGTATTTTTTCTTTCTAGTCATTCTCTTTCTCATTTTTTCATTGGGTTCGTTGCCAATATATTCGTCGTGGTAAAAGAAGCCTTCTATCCTATTAAAAAAAACAACACCATTAAAATCCCTGTTACTGATGTTACATGCTCTAATATTCTGCAACCAGTAATAATACACTGCACAGCATTTGCAACATGAATACTGAAGTATGGACAACTCGTTGTGTGATCTGAATTCTTGATGTATTTGCACGCCTCCATATCGCTGATTAGCTAAAACCTCAACTATACCACGTGGCGCCACTATTGCAATTTTGAACTACTATAAGAATGTTTCGACGGTTCAATTTGTCTCGCAGCATTGCAAAAAGTAGAACCAAGATAGTATGACGTAACCGCATTGACCGGGCTGCCTATGGTAGAACCAGCTCAACGTTTCATGTAACTTCAAGTTGCAAACTGAGGTTGTTAAACGATGAAATCTGCTTTGCGTTGTAGAGAAAGGCAGAAACAAAGAGATAAAAAGCGATAAATACATGCTTGGTAAATGCTACTTAATATATTCATAATTAGAGGGGGAGGGTAAAAGTCAAAAGAATTTTGTGATCATAACAGCTATAGGGAGAATCAGAAATTCAGAATTCGTAGAGTACTATACATACTTTTCTTCATCCGAATAAATGTATATACCGTAACCATATTTCTGGGACTTTCTCCACTCGCCGTCGTAAATATCACCATTTGGGTAGAAATATACCCCATGTCCATGTCGCTTTCCATCTTTTGTTTCTCCATTGTAGGTATCAACAACAATAAACGTTTCGTCTTCACTCCATTCTTCATTGTGATTGAAATTTTCCATCTTATCTGCTTTTGATTTGACTGAACTGTAATATCGAAAAATTCCACATATTTCCACTTATTGCGAAAGTGTTTAAACCAGGGTTTAAACCAATTGAACTAATTCAACGTGGCGCGTGTGCTAGAAAAACGATTTGATAAAACTGTTCTTTTTTATTTACAGAGCTTGGAATGCATTTCAACTCCCAAAGGGAACAAACTATGTGTTTTAGGTTAATTAATAACTCACTTATTTGATATGCTTCGTATACCCATGAGATATTTTAAGCAACTTCTGTCACATCACAGCCGCTATGCGGCTAATTTGAATTTCAAAGGTGTCAGGTTTTTTTTACTCACCCCGTAGTATATGAATAAATATCAGTCAAATATAAATATTTTTCTATATAGCACGCCACGGCCACTGCCTACAATTAACGAATTGTGCTGATAGCGCCAAAAAAATACTTCCTGACAACGCTACATAATGCGATATAGCATGCATGTTTTACGCTGTACGTGTGTTGCAGTTTCACTTTCGGTTCATATAAGATCAATAACAGTTCATATAACATTATAAATTTATGATGGTCATAAAACCAACATTTGCAACTAAGCAACAAAGTTATAGTGAATCGTTAGGCTTGTTTTATTTTGAGATGACAAGCCTCACAACGTCTCATGACTCTCTCTCACAACGTCTGTCGTCTGATTAAAATGCAACGGCTCGTCATTCTCTCTCTCACAAGTCACAACGTCTGATGAGAATGCCACGTCTCATGACTCTCATATGACTCGGCCTACATACAAATTTACGATGTAATTTTCAAGCATGCATTTATTATTATATTATATTACATATTATTTATCTATAAATCGCTTGTAGTTGAGTTTATAGGACAAAATTAAACAATTATCATCATTATTATCCTGATAAAAATTTACATCTTACCTATTAGTTAATATGATTCTTTACGAGAATTCCAAAATCCCTACGCCATAAATTACGATCGGGGATAAACACTCTATGTTATGTGGTGAAACCGTGCAGTATACTTGTATTGTTATTTATAGAGATATGAGGATCATGAGATACGTATATCAAACTGTGCATGAACTGCGTGGGGAAAGTATTGCAATGAGGTTTTTACCATATATGTACAAATTGCTAATGGGGGATTTACATATAGTGCAACATGCTGAGCGATCAAATTTTTTCGATCGCTATACTGCTATATTTAAAGTGTGTGTATCAAGGTTAGTGATTGTCCACATTTATAATATTTGAGTCATATATAGGTAATATTTGTAATGTATATTTGTAATGTATTATTATTGTAATATTTTTTATGTTTAAACTTCATTTTCATGGATTTTTAAATCGGTAAAGTTTCCGGAAATGACATAAAAAGGGGAATTGCAAATGTGATATAAATTGTTTCAAATATCAAAACGTGCTGAGTCGAATATATACAGTATAGCATCATCAGTTGTTTCGCATTAATGTTGAATTTGAAAAAAAGCAATCGCAAACGCATAAGCCAGTATTCAGAGACTTACAATTACTAGGTCGTCAAGCTACCAGTACTACAATACTAGCAGTTAAAGTTTTATTTCAATTGTTTCCTGTAAGACACTTGGTCCTTTTCCTGCAACACTTCGAATCTGAAATGAATGACATTCGATTATTACAGGAAAAAAATTAACTGCTGTTACTTGAGCCCACAGTATTATCCAAGATTTAACCAGTAGATCCGGGCGATGGCAGTGAAATACGTCTTTATGAAACCAGACAAGGACATTTTATTTTCGGAATCATGTTATACAGTGTCTTTTAAATACCGTTAACGTTATTACACACTACGTTAAATCTTGGCTAAATCATGTCTTACTGACTGCTATGAAATGCATGCATGAACCATCATAAGCAAGCCGGTCAATGCGGTTACGTCATACTATCTTGTGCATTGGAACCATTGGGGAAATTGACTGGAAACTTGACAATTGCAATAACATAAAAAGTTACGCCTCGAACATACCTGTCTCACAAAATAAGGTTTTGGTTTGTCTGAAAAACCAATCATGGCAAATGAACTTCGAAAACCTAATGTGGCAACGTTTTCTCCTGCGGCCTCAGAGAGTGCGTCGTATGCATCTTGTGTCATTACCCCTGAACCTTCATCATTTATGGCTGCCAGAATCAATTTCCTAATGAAACATACTTTTCTTAGTTTTATTAACTATACAAAAGTGAACACATCATGCCGGAAATCAGAGAGCTTTATATTGAAGAACTAAATATAGGTCCGTGGTCAGGTTTTCTATTTTAAGCCTACAATCCCATGCAATACAAAATGTGCCACCATGAGTTTTCAATGTTGATCCCCCCTTCCCCCTATCTCAATGTTGTATCAGTTTTAACAGTTAATGAAGACTAACACCTCGAATAGTGAAAACCATCACTACCCAACATTGAAACAGGGTGCGGGAGTACGTAGCGTCTCGTTAATTTTGCATAAGATTGCCTAGATTTTATTTAGTCGTAATTGTCGCGAAGTCATGCATTCTCATCGATAAGAAATAGTTCGGATGTGAATTTGGCCTCATTTCTGTACGCAAGTGGCGGTCATGTTGACTGCGCACTATTCTGACCGCGAAATATTCTGTTATAATAAAATTGTCAGACACCTTGATATTGCATGTTAACGACAACCACGACTAAAAGGAAATCAGGCTGATCCAGGCATATAACTTCTTACTTCGTTTGAGATAAAACAGTATTTAGAAACTGGACCATTCCGGATGTCTCATTGTGGCTATGATGGGTGTCAAAAGAGGTGCTATTTTCGACATCGCCTGAAAAATCAAATACCAATGTTTGACAACGTATGAAAACACTGAAAATATCATGATACCAGTGCTAATCCAGTTTTTGGCCAGTTTTCCACTTCGACTAGCAAAGTTTACAAAGAGCGGCGTAATGGGCGTATGTGATAATTTCGTTGGTTATTCAGGTAGAGCTAATGCACTGAATGACTCATTGCAATCGATTAAAAAAGAAATATGCAACGTTTCGGTCGGATACAGGCTTTCAAAACGAAACGTGAATATATATATCAATAGTTTTTCCTGGCCAATTCCTATGCAGAACTAGTGATATTGACAAAAAAAAATACGCCCATATTTCTGGCGGCGAAAGAGAAAACCTGGTGAATTGTTTAATACATATACACTGACCCACCTGTTCTGATATCAATAACCACGATGTTAAATCCACGTTTGTTTATTGCGTAATCTTTCCCGTTAACTCTGATATGGGCAAAAAATCCTCCAGGATCAATGTAACCACTGCTTGCAACTTGTATATGCAACAAAGTAACTACAAAAATAAATAAATTAAAGAGTTTAAATAAAGTTGTTAAAGATGCAAATTTGCTGTCCTGTATTTCTGCGTGTTATAAGAACTGAATTAGAATACTTTGTGTATCTTTAAAAAACACCCAGCCTTGCTCATCAAGACTTTTCAATTGGTCTTTGCCAGTGTATATTGTGATGCTGAGTTGGCAGTTTATTGATCCACTTGTTAAGCCATACTTGTATTTAAACCCAACGCATGTTGACTGTGCGAGACAATCAAATGCACAGTTGATATCTGCACGAGCACTGTGATTCGAAATGATATGGGTGGAGGTTAAAAGTGGAACTGTAAAGTAAGAATGTTAAAAATCAATTATTTAACCACGCAAATCGTATTCTTTTTATACCCCTGTAGTTTTATTGGATATAATACCCGCGGTGATCCCTATACCTTGCACTTACCCTATGATACTGAAGAATGATAACAATTCTTCAGGTTTTGAAAACGGAAATAGGATTTTAAAGAATAAACACTTTAGCCGCTCACATCCCCGCTTTCCTTAGACTCGGTTAATGTCTTTCCCATTGGGGTGATGTCAAAATGTGAGATGACACTATTTGCCACACGTTAATTATAATAATTATAATTAATAATGTTCTGGCACTCATTTATTCGAGGTGCCAGAGCATCTTTAAAAACCTGCCACCGCTAAAAGTTTCATGGAAAAGCGATATACTCTACCATGGGTAATCAGACTCGATTAGCTATGCTATTTTTGATTACCTGTGCCAAATACATGCTTTATATTTCAATATAATATTGTAAATAACAGTGATGGTGTGTATGAGGTGCATTAAATTATTATTGTTGTTGAAAAATGACGTAATAGCGTCAAAGAATTAAGAAAGTCGAAGTCGTATCATACGTTAAAGTGACGTCACACGTTAGACATGACGAGTTCACGCATACCCTTCACGCATTAATAACAATACACGCCTTGACGCTCAATGATGCATATTGTTTTCATTATTGGCTTTTTTCAGTCACAAAAATAAAAATTTCTTCAAAGAATGTCTTATAAGGCCCTGTAACGGTGCAACTTGCACGCAATTCTACTTTTAAGAGATGTATAATTAGTTAGTTGAGAGTCTTCAGAAATGTCCATGCATGGAATGTAATAAACACAAAGGTTTTGTAGTAGCCGAATTTTCATCTTTCTTTTCATCTTAAAGTAGAGTTGTATTTCTAGTCGCATGAAAAATTTGTGTAACAGGGCCTTAAAACTATGATAAATCGTTTAAAGCCACCTGCAACGAGATATTGACGTCATATTGCAGACGACTATTTAATGTCAAGCTTTATTTTATTTTATCCATAAAATTTTTCAACTACCGATTTTAAAATATCTTGCTCGGACCAAAGAGACCTTCCGTAGTTGTTTCATTTCTTTAAAAGCGGTTCAATAGCATGCAACATAAAAATATATTTGATACATTCAGGTTAGCGAATTTCATCAGGATAATTAATCAATGTTTAATGAAATACACTTAATTAATATTCAGCAGTTTATTTTGACAGCAAAAATAAAATAACGATCCGAAAAACATATGTAACTTTGTAAACTCACGAATATAGCAACGCTATTTCATTTACGGATTAAACATGGCCTTTTTAATTATGTTAAGACATATGACTCTGTTGTATATATTGCAAAGATTTTTGATTTTTTATTCATTTTTGAAAATCGTCTTGTTTGACGTTTAAACACGATTTTGGACAGGATTGATTACTTAAATGTCTTTATATAATTATATGCTACCTGTCAGAATGATATATGTAGGAACATACGGTTAATAGACATAGCCTATTGATTAATAATCCACCCAAATTTTGCACTTCATTTTATTCAATATTGTAGTCAACATTCTTTTCATGATTCAATTGCGAATTGCAAAGGGTTTCACAATCTTCTTTTAAAGCAATTTGTGCCAGCCTGCCTGCCTGCCTGCCTGCCTGTATATACCGTAATTTAAGCTAGGCCTTTTGAACGCTTTTTCTACGGTTTACATTTTAGATACGTAAACTCCACCGCATCTTTTCATATTTCATTTTACAATCATGCAGTCAACCCAAACAACAGACCCTGGGTATACGAGGTTGAAGCCGGTTGAAGGCAATCTTTTTTGCCGTTAAAATCATATTGTTACCTGATTCAGATTTTTTGAAAAACTTCTCCAAATATTCTGTAGCCATTGGCATCGATAGTTGAAGTAACAACAGGCCTACGATAGCATACAACAGCAACATGTTACTTGACCCAAGCATCGTGGGACCATCCAGAAGTTCAGAACGGCTTTGCAGTTATGTCGTAAGCCACCAGGTATAGGCCATCATCTTTGAGACAAATGTAGAAAATTTCAATTCTGTCATATATAGGGAGCCTTTCGCAGCTATATATATGTGTAGTTCATGAATAGAAAGTGTAAAGTCACACCTGTAAGAAAGATGCGTGATATGCATGTACCACGGAACAATATATGCATGCATGATATTAAAAAGGCAAGAGACATCATGTGATAAACTGAATAAACCAATCGAATTTACAAATTCTAACAGAATATGTAATTAAAATCATATCACCGGCAAAAGCTCCGATGAAAAAAAAACAAATTGATTGAACATCTATATTGTACTACATTGCAAGAAAAAAGTTAAATGTTTTTGATAGTAAGCATGCACTGATCAGGGGCGTCGGAGAATCTAAATTGGGGGGGGGTGTATATTTATATATTCGCCTTATGCCCAACTAATTTATTTTGTACGCTATTGTTCCAATGATATATGTAAACATGAATATATACGTAAAGAGCTATGTTGATGGCAAAGAAGATATGAAAAAGTAAAGTGATACAAAGTTGGAAAGTTTTACAGTTATCTTTACCAGCAGTAAAAATACACATTTATAACACGAATCAGAAACAACTGAAAAATTGGTTGTTTTAAGCAAGTTTTTTACCAAGTTTTATCATTCAATGGACCAAAATTGGTCCATTAATGATGAATAATAGGAATACATTACTTTCCATTACATTGATCGTAAGTAGTTGATTTTTGTATATAGGTGTAAATATAATCTTGGGCCGTTTAATTAATTTTCCTTCCATGAATGACAACTTAAGTGTAGAATTAGAGTAGTAACAGTTTTAGTGTATGCAATTTTGTCTGAGCTCTCGTTTTACGTCAAACGTTGGCGCGTGATGACCCGTAAAGTTTGCTGACTTCAAAGCCAAAACCATGCATGCAAGCTAACTTTGCAACAAACTGGTTGCAAGCTGTTGTGTCAACTGATCCACTCAACCGTTATATAAAAACGCTTCGACAACCTAAAGCCAGTCATCAGTGAACTGAACTAAAAGTCAAGTGAAACATTTAGAGAAAACTCAAACAGGCGATTCAAGGCATCCTCGCTATCTCGCGTATATAGACTATAGAGAGAGATAAAAAGAAAACAGAACCGGCATTAATAACAGCATAATAACCAAGACATACACGATGGCACGCACCTGTTCAAACAAAACGCCCTATACAGAACAGAAATTGAATGTATAGAATTTAACATGAAGTAGCGCAAATATTAAATTCGTTATCTTGATTTTGTATGTTTCAAAGTCTGTTAAACGGTCCAATTTTCTTGGATACAATTGACTTAACGGATCATGGCGTTTTATAGTTTGTTTATTTGCGATATATATATGCAGAGCATGCAGCAAATCTACTCAAGCCGAGAAATCCCTTAACGTGTTAACATTACAATGATGGCAATACTCAACACGAAGCTCTCGTGTGAAATACAATTTTTAACTGTTTACTGTTATCCCTACTATAAGTATAATCTTCGTTTCTGCCTGGGATGTCAAAATGCGGTAACCAATATTCTTGTCGACAGCGGCCGTGGTTTAATAGTAGTTAAACGAACTTAATTAACGCTATAAATTACACTAAATTTGGATTGTTTCTTGAAAGACGCATGGTCCACGTCCTGCAACTCTTTGCATCTGAAATAATTATGGCATTCAATAAACACATGATGAAAATTCGATAGACATGGCAGGGTGTATAAAAAAGGACCCCTTATTAAAATATTTTGTTAGAATTTGAATGCCTTATAATTACAGCAAACCCACGGATACGTAAAATTGAAAGCGATGCACTTGACTAGAACGTCTCGACCTATTTACTGTGCCATTTACCAACCAGTCAGACAACCAGAGTTGCAAAAAAGCTGCGGGTACGCGGGTGCCACCTGAAGGAAGGTTTGCTTTGAAAGAGGTTTGTGAGGAAAGTTCAAAGTTGAACACTCTAATTGATCAAATGCATATACCAAAAAACCAAATATTTCTTTATGCTCAGTGGCGTATAGCCAGCCTGACGATTTTGTCCCGCTATGTAAATTTCGAGTTACTATGATTATTCATGTCTTTAGGATTATTCATGCATATATTATTTATCTATAAATCGCTTGTAGTTGAGTTTATAGGACAAAATTAAACAATTATCATAATTATTATCCTGATAAAAATTCACATCTTACCTATTAGTTAATATGATTCTTTACGAGAATTCCAAAATCCCTACCCCATAAATTACGATCGGGGATAAACAATTTATGTTATATTGTTATTATAGAGATATGAGGATCATGAGATACGCATATAAATTTTTATATCGGTGAAGTTTCCGGAAATGACATAAAAAGTGGAATTGCAAATGTGATTGTTGTTTCAATTGTTTCAAATATCAAAACGTGCTGAGTCAAATATACAGTATAGCATCATCAGTTGTTTCGCACGAATGTTGAATTTCAAAAAAAGCAATCGCAAATGCATAAACCAGTATTCAGAGACTTACAATTACTAGGTCGTCAAGCTACCAGTACTGCAATACTAGCAGTTAAAGTTTTATTTCAATTGTTTCCTGTAAGACACTTGGTCCTTGTCCTGCAACATTTCGAATCTAAAATGAATAACATTCGATTATTACAGGAAGAATATTAACTGCTGTTTACTTGAGCCCGCAGTATTGTCCAAGATTTAACCAGTAGATCCGGGAGATGGCAGTGAAATACGTCTTTATGAAACCACACAAGGACATTTTATTTTCGGAATCATGTTATACAGTATCTTTTAAATACCGTTAACGTTATTACACACTTCGTTTAATCTTGACTAAATCATGTCTTACTGACTGCTATGAAATGCATGCATGAACCATCATAGGCAAGCCGGTCAATGCGGCTACGTCATACTATCTTGTGCATTGGAACCATTGGGGAAATTGACTGGAAACTTAACAATTGCAATAACATAAAAAGTTACGCCTCGAACATACCTGTCTCACAAAATAAGGTTTTGGTTTGTCTGAAAAACCAATCATGGCAAATGAACTTCGAAAACCTAATGTGGCAACGTTTTCTCCTGCGGCCTCAGAGAGTGCGTCGTATGCATCTTGTGTCATTCCCCCTGAACCTTCATCATTTATGGCTGCCAGAATCAATTTCCTAATGAGACATACTTTTCTTAATTTTATCAACTACAAAAGCTTATATATAAACACCATCATGCCGGAAATCAGAGAGCTAGGGCTTTATATTAAGGAACTAAATATAGGTCAGTGGTCAGGTTTTCTATTTTAAGCCTAGCTTTCAGTTTAGTCGTAATTGTCGCGAGCAAGTCATTTTCATCGATAAGAAATAGTTCGGATGTGAATTTGGCCTTATTTGAGTTATTTTTGTATGCAAGTGGCGGCCATTGTTGACTGCGCACACATAGAAATATTCTGTCATATCAGACACCTTGACATTGCATGTTCACGTCTTCACGACAACCACGACTGAAAGGAAATCAGGCTGGTCCAGGCTTATGACTTCTTACTTCGTTTGAGATAAAACAGTATTTAGAAACTGGACCATTCTCGATATCTCATTGTGACCATGATAGGTGTCAAAAGAGGTGCTATTTTCGACATCGCCTGAAAAATCAAATACCAATGTTTGACAACGTATGAAAGCACTGAAAATATCATGATGCCAGTGCTAATCCAGTTTTTGGCCAGTTTTCCACTTCGACTAGCGAAGGTTAGGAAGAGCGGCGTAATGGCCGTATGTCATAATTTCGTTGGTTATTCAGGTAGAGTTAAAGCACTGAATGACTCATTGCAAAAAAGAAATATGCAACGTTTCGGTCGGACACAGGCTTTCAAAACGAAACGTATATCAATAGCTTTTCCTGGCCAATTCCTATGCAGAACTAGTGACATTGACAGAAAAAAATACGCCCATATTTCGCTGCGAAAGAGAAAACCTGGTGAATTGTTTAATACATATACACTGACCCACCTGTTCTGATATCAATAACCACGATGTTAAATCCTCGTTTGTTTATTGCATAATCTTTTCCGTTAACTCTGATATGGGCAAAAAATCCTCCAGGATCATTGTAACCACTGCTTGCAACGTGTATATGCAACAAAATAACTACAAAAATAAATTAATTACAATAATTTGTAGAATTAAAATAAAGTTGTTAAAGATTCTTATTTGTTTATGCAAATTTGCTGTCCTGTGTTTATGCGTGTTATAAGAACTGAATTAGAGTACTTTTTGTATCTTTAAAAAACACCCAGCCTTGATCATCAAGACTTTTCAATTGGTCTTTGCCAGTATATATTGTGATGCTCAGTTGGCAGTTTATTGATCCACTTGTTGAGCCATACTTGTATTTAAATCCAACGCATGTTGACTGCTCGAGACAATCAAATGCACAGTCAATATCTGCACGAACACTGTGACTCGAAATGATATGGGTGGATGTTAAAAGTGGAACTGTAAAATAAGAATGTTAAAAATCAATTATTTAACCACGCAAATCGTATTCTTTTTATACCCCTGTAGTTTTATTGGATATAATACCCGCGGCGATCCCTATACCTTGCAGGTACCCTAGTAAAATAATTATTGAATGAGGTTGAACATGATAACTAAGAATGATAATCATCTTCAGGTTTTGAAAACGGAAATAGGATTTTAAAGAACGAACACTTTATTCGCTCGCATCCCCGCTTTCCTTGGACTCGGTTAATGTCTTCCCCATTGGGGTGATGTCAAAACGTGACATAACACTATTTGCCACACGTTATGACGTAATAGCGTCAAAGAAGAAAGTCGTATCATACGTTAAAGTGACGTCACATGACATAGACATGACGATTTCACGCATACCTTTTACGCATTAATAACAATTCGCGCCTTGACGCTGAATGATGCATATTGTTTTCATTATTGGCTTTTTTAATGCCGTCACAAAAATAAATATTTCTTTCAAGAGTGTCCTATAAGGCCCTGTAACGGTGCAACTTGCACGCAATTCTACTTTTAAGAGATGTATAAGTTAGTTGAGAGTCTTCAAAAATGTCCATGGAATGTACTAAACAAAAAGGCTTCGTAGTAGCCGAATTTTCATCTTTCTTTTCATCTTATTCAGTAGAATTGTATTTCTAGTTGCATGAAAAATTTGAAGTGTGTAACAGGGCCTTAAATTATGATAATCGTTTAAAGCCACCTGCAACGAGATATTGATGTCATATTGCAGACGACTATTTAAAGTCAAGCTTTATTTTATTTTTTCTATAAATTTTAAAATATTTTGCTCGGACCAAAGAGACCTTCCGTAGTTGTTTTATTTCTTAAAATTGTGGTTCAACAACTAATAAATATGTGATACATTCAGGTTAGCGAATTTCATCAGGATAATTAATCAATGTTTAATGTAATATACTTACTTAATCTTCAGCAGTTTATTTTGACGGCAAAAATAAAATAACGATCCGAAAAACATATGTAACTTTGTAAGGTTCACGAATATAACTTTTACCAAAGACAAGGCGGCAATTTAACGCTATTTTATATACGGATGAAATATGACCTTTTTAATTATGTTATGTGACTATATGTTGCATATTTTGCATAGATTTTTAATTTTTTCATTCATTTTAGAAAACTGTCTTGTTTGACGTTTAAACACAATTTTGGACAGGATTAATTACTCAAATGTCTTTTTATGCTACCAGTCAAAATGATATATGTAGGAACATATACGGTTAATAGACATAGCCTATTGCCCACATTTTGCACTTTCTTTTTAATCAATATTACAGTCAACATTCTTTTCATGATTCAATTGCGAATTGCATAGGGTTTCACAATCTTGTTTTAAAGCAATTTGTGCCAGCCTGCCTGCCTGTATATATACCGTAATTTAAGCTAGGCCTTATGAACGCTTTTTCTCCGGTTTACATTTTAGATGTATAGGTATTTACGAATTACGTAAACTGCACCGCAACTTTTCATATTTCATTTTAATCATGCAGTCTACCCAAACAACATACAAGCCAAACAACATACAGCTTCAACATTGAAGCCTGTTGAAGACAATCTTTTTTGCCGTTAAAATCATATTGTTACCTGATTCAGATTTTTTGAAAAACTTCTCCAAATATCCTGTAGCCATTGTCATTGATAGTTGAAGTAACAACAGGCCTACGATAGGATACAACAGCAACATGTTACTTGACCCAAGCGTCGTGGAACCAGCCAGGAGTTCAGAACGACTTATTTGCAGTTATGCAGTAAGCCACCAGGTATAGGCCATCGTCTTTAAGACAAATGTGGAAAATTTCAATTCTGTCATATATAGGGAGCCTTTCCCAGCTATATATATATGTGTAGTTCATCAATAGAAAGTGTAAAATGCTTAGTCACACCTGTAGGAAAGTGCGTGATATGTATATATGGGACCACAAAACAATATCATGCATGCATGATATTAAAAAGGCAAGAAACATCATGTGATAAATATAAACCAATCGAATTTACAAACTCTAACAGAATATGTAAATCATATCACAAAATAAGCATGCACTGATCAGGGCCGTTGGTAGAATCTTAATTTGGGGGTGTATATATTTGTATATTCGCCTTAAGGCGCTGTTACACTATGCAATTTTCCTTGCAATTGCAAGTTAACTTGCAATGCAATTATAATTTCGAGGGATGTTAATTAGTAAAGAGTGTTCGAAATGCTAAGAAAACGTTGGCAGATCGTAAGAAATGTTCGGCGTATTTGTCAACTTTAGATGCCACAGGAGTAGAATTGCATTGCAAGTTGCAAGGAAAGTTGCATAGTGTAACACCGCCTTTATGCCCAACTGATTTAATTTGTACGCTATTGTTCCGATGATGTATGTAAACATGAATACATATACATAAAGCCATGTTGATGGCAAAGAAGATATGAAAAAGTATAGCTATAAATTAAGTGATGCAAAGCGAAAGTTGGAAATACACACCTGTCAATACCGTTAAGATTTCAGTTTTTCAGTTATCTTTACCAGCAGAAAAAATACACATTTATAACACGAAACAGTTCAACGTCTGAAACTGCAGACCCTGACGATTGATGTATTTCGCTTCAAAATTTAAACTATATTATTTGATAAAATATTATTATACGCTTTCATTTGGCCCGCTAAATATCACATGCAAAACCTGCATGCATGTTACACATGCAGGAAGCATGAAGAAACGCTTGTTGTAAGTTATATAATACTCGTTGAGAAAAGATTGTTGAAACGACCAATTTAAATTGGTTGTCTCAGATTCATTTATTTTGGATCATCTTTTTTTGCAAAAAAGACCTGAAAAATTGGTTGTTTCAACCAAGTTTTTAACCAAGTTTTATCATTTAATGGACCAAAATTGGTCCATTAACGATGAATTAATGATGAATGATATATAGGAATACATTACTTTCCATTAAATGGGATAAGTAATTGATTTTCGCCACAAAAACGTATAGCTATATATAGGTGTAAATATAATCTTGGGCCATTCACAAGTATTTTATTAATTTTCCTTCCATGAATGACAGCTTAAGTGTAGAATTAGAGTATAGTAACGGTTTTAGTGTATATATGTAATTTTGTCTGAGCTTTCGTTTTAGGTTAAACGTTGGCGCGTGATGACCCGTAAAATTTACACTTTAAAGCTAACTTTGCAACAAACTGGTTGCAAGCTGTTGTTTCAACTAACCATTCAACCGTTATATATAACCTTGGACAACCTAAACGCTTGAACAAACTAAAGCCATGCAGTCATCAGTGAACTTAACAGAGTAAAAGTCAAGTGAAACATTTAGAGAAAACTCAAACTGGCGATTCAAGGCATCCTCGCTATCTCGCGTATATAGACTATAGAGAGATAAAAGAGAAAATAGAACATTGATAACAGTATGATAAAATCAAGACCAGAAGATCATGGCACGCACCTAGAAATTGAATGCATAGAATTTAACATGAAGTAGCTAGTGCAAAATATTAAATTCGTTATCTTGATTTTGTATGTTTCAAAGTCTGTTAAACGATATAATTTTCATGGATACAATTGACTTAACGGATCATGGCGTTTTATAGTTTGTTTATTTACGATATATATATGCGGAGCAACAAATCTATACTCAAGCCGAGAAATCCCTTAACGAGTTAACATCACAATGGTGGCAATACTCAACACGGAGCTCTCGTGTGAAATACAATTTTTAACTGTTTACTGTTATCCCTATTATAAGTATAATCTTCGTATTGCCTGGGATGTCAAAATGCGGTAACCAATATTCTTGTCGACAGCGGCCGTGGTTTAATAGTAGTTAAACGAACTTAATTAACGCTATAAATTAATGATACAAAATTTCGATTGTTTCTTGAAAGACGCATGGTCCACGTCCTGCAGCTCTTTGCATCTGAAATAATTATGGCACTCAATAAACACATGATGAAAATCAGATAGACAACAGGGTGTATAAAAAAGTACCCCCTATTAAAATATTTTGTTAGAATTTGAATGCCTCATTATTACAGTAAACCCACGGATACGTAAAATTGAAAGCGATGCACTTGACTAGAACGTTTCGACGTATTTACTGTGCCATTTACCAACCAGTCAGACAACAGACATGCATGCATCGCCATGGCATCGCCTGGTAACATTTCAATAACCGAGCTCGTAGAGTAAAAAAACATACGAACATACTTGTTTTACGAAAGAAGGTTTTCGTTTGTCTGAAAAACCAATCATGGCAAATGAACTCCGATAACCTAATTTGGCAACGTTTTCTCCTGCGACCTCAGAGAGTGCGTTGTATGCATCTTGTGTCATTCTCCCTGAACCCTCATCCATTATGGCTGCCAGGATCAATTTACTAAAAAAACACAAGTGCATATGTGAAATATACTTTTATTCATTTCTTGACTGCAGAACCTTATTTAACGTGGAAAACAACTAATTAATACACGGAATATGTATGTAAGAAATGTTCAGACAAATATGATAGGCAAGCTATACATATGCATGCAGTATAGCGATGTTAAACTTATCTAAGGACGTTTCCAATTTTTAAATTATCATATATTTGTCCGCAATTCTATAACAAAACACTTATATATTGTTAAGAAGTAATTTATTCATTAATGGTCAGGAAAAAACATTCCCTAATTTTTAGGTAAAATTTTGACGTAAATTAAACTCTTAGTCTTATGTTTCCTCCTAACATGCATGCATGCAAGTAAAGTTCTCCATTCTCTACTTATATATAGCCTATATACGTATACAACGGCTATAGCTTTTCTTCTTACTTTGTGTTAAATATATTATTTAGAAACTGGACCATTCTTGTTGCCTCGGCTTCACTTCATGGGTGTCAAAAACGTCGCTGCTTTCGACATTGCCTAAATATCAAACATCTGTGATAATGCACTCTGCATGAAAAACAAATTTTACTGTCTTTACTAAACTATATTCTTGGCCAGTTTTTTACTTCGACCGTTGGGTTTGCGATTGTAAGATTCTTGGACATTTTTTTGCCTCGTAGAACTAAACACTGCTTGAATAAACACCCTGACGAAACAGTTCGATGATTTACAGCAGCAACCCGAGCTTATCAAACGATCTCTGTATGGTATCGAGCAGAACTTTGTATTTTGTGGCTGTTTCAAAAGACATGGCTTATAATGTTGTTGAGGACAAAACGTTTGGACTTAATTAGGCCCGGCCTGCTACACGGTGCAATTTTTCATGCAACTGGCAATGCAATTCCTATTGTGAGATTGAGACCACGATTGCCGAAATTGTGTTTATCACACTCTATGGAGTGTAAAGTGGTTCTGACACTTACACTTTGCAGACACTTCACTAATTAACATCTCTGAAAACTAGACTGCAATCGATCTTTTGTGATCGAAAAGACAGCGAATATCATGAGTTTGCATTTTTTTACAACCTGTAAATACTGCAAATTGCATTTCAATGACAGTCGTATACAACTAATTATACTTCTGGGATTATACTTCATTAATTCATACAGCTTCTGATTACATACAAATTCCAACAACACGACCTTTAAATAACATCCCTGAGCATGATTATTGTGGTTTATTCTCGCTTGCATTGGATTAAAAAGTGCTAAATAATGCAACTTTCGTAATATCTCATTTCAAATGAATTTGCAGTACCCCGCACTTATCCAAATTATTATGTTGGCACTTTTTTATATACCCTGTAATAGAAATATACCCTGTAATAGAAATATACCCTGTAATAGAAATATACCCTGTATGAGTATAGCTTGTTAAATCACAGAACGTCTCAAGAAAGTAAGTTTCATCCTGCTCGCTCTCCCATAGCACAGATACACAGTACACTATACACCCACCTGTTTTGATATCAACAACTACGATGTTGAAGCCACGTGTGTTCTTTGCATAATCTTTTCCGTCAACTTTAATGTGGGCGAACGATCCTCCAGGATCATCTGCACCACTGCTTACAACGTGAATATGTATCAATTTAGCTACAAAGATAATGAACTAAAAATTATAAGAGATAATTAAAGTCATTAAAGATTATAACGCAAATTTGCTACCAGGATTAAGAGTAATAAAAATTTTATAGCTATAGTACCCGTTTTATAAAACACCCAGCCTTGGTCATCATCGCCTTGGCCAGTATATATTGTGTTGCTGAGTCGGCAGTTTATTGATTCCTTTGTTGAACCATACTTGTATTTAAACCCAACGCATGTTGACTGTGCGAGACAATCAAATGCACAGTCAATATCTGCACGAACACTGTCGTTCGAAATGATATGGGTGGATGTTAAAAGTGGAACTGTAAAATAAAAAGTTAAAAATCAAACATTAATAACGGCTTGTTACGTCATTATGCATAAGGGGTCGGTTGTTCGAAAGGCGTTTAGCTTAAACGGTGGATAAGCCAAAGTTTAAAAATACTCTCGTACATCTTGTGAATGACTGAACCTGTATCTTATGCATTTAATATGTACGTCCAATGACAATTAAACTATTTACATCGAAATATTTCAGCTCAGTTGTTCAATAAATAGATAATTTGGTTTTCCATTTTGAACTTATCCACCGTTTAAGCTAAACGCCTTTCGAACAACCGGCCCAAGGTCTATAACTTTGACCTCGGTCTGAATAATTCTTGATATCATGCGAAAGCCGAATCCAATAATTGTATGTTATCACTTATGTTGCATATTGCAAAGCTTTCAGTTAAGAAAATCGTCTCATTATTAATTAATTAATTAATTATTTTACAATCTTCTACTTGTCAGTGCATGTATGACAATATTGTCGTCTGTCGACTTGTCAACCGCTCAAATTTCTTTAT